AAGATAAGAAGAGATAATAGCTTGAAGAATTATTAGGATTTGCCGGCCGAGCCTGTGGGGCTTCAGGCTTCTTATTGTCATTTAATGCGTAGATTATTAAATAATTAGGAAAAATTAGCCACTTCGAACCGAGATATTGATCCTAATTCAATTAGAATACGCCGCTAGGAATTGTCTCGCCGCCCAGAGCTGCTCAGAGCGTCTTCTGTTCTAAAACGTGTCACGACACGTTCGGACTTCGAAGATGCGCGTTGCGAATCGTGTCGCGGACAGGCTACATTTTCTACGCGGCGCGGCGGTACAAAAAAGCAGAAGTTTTTGTCTAAAAGCAAAATATGAAAAATTTTTAGACGCACCGGTACGCTGAAAACTTTCGATTTTCGATAACGTGAATATGGGAAACTGCATTTAAATCGTGTGATTTGGGGATTCGGCGATTATCCCATTTAAAATTTAAATGCTGAAAATTATTCTCAGATATCTTGTAACACGTTTTTCTCGGTCACCCCGTATAGATTGGTTTCGCGAAGTCACGCGACGCGTGTCACTCGGGCGAATGCACGCGCGAGTTGATTTCGAACGTGCGTGCGTGCACGAATGTGTCGACGCGTATTGCGTAATCGCGAGTGGAGATCATTTTTACTCGTGCTCGGGGTGGGATCGGAAGTACAAGCTCGAACTCGACCCTCGACCTGGCCTCGACCGCGAGAAATTCGTTCTTGAAAGAAAGAAAGGAGGAAAGAAAGAAAGAAAGAAAGAAAGAAAGAAAGAAAGAGAAACTCAATGCGGGTCTTGTCCCCTGTTAAATCGTGAAATTCCGCGGTACGTTAATTAGAGAGGAAAAAAATATCTGACGTCAGCGTTGCGGTGAAGAGGACTCATCGACTCGCTCGTAGATTCGACCATCTCCGTCTCACGATAGTTTTTCTCTCCCTCGCACTAATATAAATCGTCACCGCGAGAATCCGATTACTTTTTACAAATCCTCTCGTCGTTGTCCGCGCTCGCTGTTTTCGATGCGTCGACGTGAAAAAGAGATATTAGTTTGCATTTCCGATAGCTGACGTTTGCATTTCCGATTACGGATATGTGTGCTTGTAAAGTCAAACACTAAAACCTTGGTATTTCGCTAAAACCTAAAACATTCCTTGGGCAAGAACTGTAATTAATGTCACAATTAATTTCGAATATACAGGTGTATCTTGAGAGTCTCGCGAATGCAGATAGTGCGAGATTGTTCCTACGCAAGCTCTGAGACTATCAGTTGACCGGTGAAAAGAATAATTAGCATAATATGAATATTTATTAAATTCAAGGATCTAGCTCTTTAACTAGTTTTTTAAACTGCTACCATTTCATTAACTGCACATGTTAGTTTTTCGTTCGGTATTACAGGTATTATTTCTCCATACTTGAAAATATGTTAAGATATAACACATATATAAATGTATAATGTATTTTTTAAATTTATTTATATTCATTTTATTAAATATTAAATATATTTATACCACACGCGACAGTTATTATATTTACTCCGAAAATATGACTCATGCTGCCTTTAATTCCCATTGCTTTCTATATATATATTGTAGGATTTCCCCCTGTATAAAATATTACTCAAAGATAGAAAAAGATGTCGATGGAGGAAAATTCTCTTTCGCGGACGTCAGAATTCATTTACGTGGATAAATCTGTACCGTTCCTGGGAAGAGCGACTTGATCTCGGGACATTCCCGGATCGATTCGATGCGCCGGCAAACGCGGTGCATTCTACGGTGCAATGTGCATGTGACGCCGAGTGCATTGCGTGGCGCGTGGCATTGCCTACCCAGTCTGCCGCGGATCGATCGACTTAAATGCTCAAAGGCGCAGGGGATCCCCTTATGCAACTCTCTGCAGCACGCCCCAGAACTCCAATGCCGAGTTCAATGTCGGAACGGTCGAAACCTTCGATATATCCCAAAAAGAGACGTTCTCCTCGACAGAAAAGATAATTCCTCGATGTACGACGTCGAGGCTGAGCTTCGGTTTTCTGGGACACCGGATGTGCGCGAGGTTGTGATAATTTCGACGAAACTTCCTAAAAAAAATATTATCAGCAACGAAAAAATGCCTCACGACGTAGTTTTGTCCCGCTCATTATCGGTTCTCTACCTGCTAGGTTCGAGTTTCACGCGAGTCACGCGCAAACACACACGTCACACACACATACGACATTGCAGTTAGACAGGCATATATTTACGCCGTAAATATACATGGACACGAATATAAACCGTGACTGTTCTAACTTTATTTAAAGAAATTTTAATATGGAGAGAGATTCACTCACTCTTTATCAATATTCATAATAATCGACTGATACTCCTGCAAGGTCACATCACACGCACGCACGCACGCACACGCGTCAAACCGCGGTCTCTTCTCCCCTCCCACCCTGTCGAAAATGAAAGGTCTACGAATCCACAATGGAGAGTCCCGGCTGTCCCGGTGCGCACACAACGACCAAACACATTCACACACTCACACAACAGCCTCGCATCCTGCATTCCTACACGCGACAGAAGGGACATACACACGTACGATCGAGCACACACATACACGCACATAATACCTTTTTGAAAACCGTCGAATTCGTTTCGGAGCGGACGAGAGGATCCCGTCGAAGGATCGACCGTGAAATATCGATCGCGGCCGCTCAATATCGTCTCTATCGACGAATTCGGAATCCTACTTGCTCGTTCTTTTGTGGGACGGGAGAGAGTTCCGTCGAAAGCCGGTCGATAGAACACCGCGGCCAGCCGTTCGCTGGCGACGAAAACTCGCGGTCGGCGAATCCGCCCCAAATAAACCCCGGAGCCCGGAGGCGGTCCGTCTCGTGTTCCGAATCGCGGAATTTCGAATTTCGAACGGCACGTCCGCCCCGGATTCCTTCTTCGAGTTTTCCTTCGCCGAACAAACGACTGATAAATTCGAAAGCGCGTTGGAACGGCGCGAAACTCCGGCACTCGGGGGCGGAAAAAGAAAAGGGAGCGAGAAAAAGAAAGGGGAGGAAAGGGAGACGGGGGGCGAGAGACTCACCTGAACGTCGAGGCAGCGTTTCGGGGTGAAGCGAAAGAGCGCCATTCTTATTATCCTGCGTGGGTTGTATCCTGCGCGGGCGTCCCGTGTCCCGTACCCTCGAACTGTGACCGACTCGATTCGACCGTCTGACTACTCTGACTAATCGACCGACCACGCGGTGCCTGCGGCGCCTCAACTCGACTGGCTCCCGGCCGCGCCGCTCTTGCCGCGGAACGGCGCGGCGCGCGCACGCGCCCAGCGCACCTCGTGGCGCCGAAACGCGGCGCGCTTCAGACCTCAGGCCGTTCAGGAGCGGCCGCGGGCGCGGCGCGACCCGCGTCGAGATTTCCCGACTTATCGGGATGTAATCACCGATATATGTTTTTATTCACGGCGTGGAAATTAAAATGTCTCGGTTCATGAAAGCGTTGACATGATTGAATGATCGCAACGAATGATTAAATTAATTAATAATAATTAAAATAAAGCGCAAGGATCGAACTTGCGATCGGTCGATTTTATTTTGTTTCGCAAGAAATTAATTGACTTGTATTAACACTCTTTTTTTTCTGCCGCTTGGTTTGTGACTTTCTTGGAATGTGAATCCAGAGCGTAGGTTTCCGCTATGAGTTTTCCGCTCCGAGAAATTTTACGCGCTTGCATATTTCCGCCACCAACGATAATCTATAAATATATATATATATATAATTACGCGTAGGAAAAATCATTTTCTCAAATTCTCGCTTGAAAGCTCATCCGTTGACGTGTTTTACCTGTTTAGCGTGGAAAGATGAAAACCACGCGTTACCCCGCTTCTAATCACGTCCGTAATTATCCGCGTAATTAGGTCGACTGAATATTTCCTCGCCGCTCGATCGTCGTCCTTCATTCGTGCCAAATCGTCTTTAATTTCGACCGGTACGTCGAGCCCGCATATGTCCGTCATTTTCTCCAGACACGCGTGACTCGCTGGCGCGAGGATCTCGGGGAGGATCGGAACTCGAATCCCGATCTCTCGACAATCCCTCACGAAGTCTATCAGGAGCCGAGATTCGAAACATATTTGCGTTATGATAAAATCCGCGCCCGCCTCCACCTGGAAATATTTTAAAATTTGGAATTATTGCTCGGACGAATATATATTGTCCCCTCTCGCTTGATGAATCATGCTCGATCGCGAGTTATAACTCGATCGCAACTTCGACGATCATTTACTTTCGCTTTTAGATGATGCAAGTCGAGCTCCTTGGAGGACGACTCCGGGTGCGTTTGCGGATAACCCGCGACGCACACGCAAAACGTGTCGCCAAACTGCTCTCTGATGAAAGCAACCAGATCCGCCGCGTGCTCGAAGTCGCCGTTCTCGGACAACGAATCTGCAAGTCGGCCAAACGTGTACTTTCCCGACAAAACACTTCGGGGAAGAATTCAATTCTCCCAGCTCTGATAATCGCAGACGTGCAATACTGTATCGATCGCGATCGTTTAACGGTACATTAATTGCAAATTGCAACATACGCTTTCGCATCTGCAGGAGTAATTCGAGCCTAGTGGAACGTATCTCGAAAAATTAAAGAACACATTTCTGGAGTTTCGCCATTGTGAAAGATTCAACGCGATTTGAGAGCGATTTTGGTCAAATTAATTAGTCGGCGATTAATTCGAGACTGCTTGAAATATTTCAGATAATTTATCGTTTTTAATCTAATTTTTCTCCTCATTTATCAGAAAAATTAATTCTATTTATTTATTATTTTTAATTATTATTCTATTTTATGTTAACAAAACACTACAGATATACGTGATTACATAGATAGGTGAGACGATTAATCAGAGTTCGGCCGAAAAGCCGTCCTAGAAGCCGACGACTAATTACCTCCTCGCAATGCAAATATATTAACTATTCCGAGGGCGAGGGTCTTTTTTAGGATACGGACGACCTCGTCGCGTTTTAGACCCTTAGCTGCTAGATGTAAAAGAGTATTGGGCGGAAAATTCTCCACCAAGTCCAACGGCAGATAGCTATCGTTGCTGGAAGCTGCTTCGTTATGCCACGTTAATGAGTAAAAGAGAGGCGAATACTCTTCCATATCTATGAGAAGTCTGATGTCCATACCATATATAAATATTACATACATTTATTTATATATAAATATACAAAATATAATATATATATATTTTTTTGTTTTTTGTCCTATATCATCTTCTTGAGAAGCAAAGATTAATTTTGTTTTTAAAAAACTGTAGTCTCTCTCTCTCTCTCTCATGCACAGTTATAACCTTAATAAAATATCAAACTATCGCGAATCTAAAGTCGAGTCCTCTCGTATTGTGACTTTACCCGATCTTTTTCATTATACAGACCTTCGGTAAAACGCGCCGGGTTTCCTCGTGGAAACGATTTCGAAGCTACAAAATATTTCATTTTTGTTAATTTTATCTCTTAACGATTGCCGCAGATCCACGACAGTCTTGCGGAGATTCCCGGTATCAAAGCCGTGCACGGAAGGATTATCCTTGCTGTCATTTGTGTCAGCGTCACTCCTCTCACACGTGTCCTTCTCGAGAATCAAGTTTCTCATTGTAAATTGGCGATAATCGTGAACTGAAATGTTGACACTTTCATTCCGTGGTCCATAATGGCCTGCGTAGAATTATGTAATGTACAGAATGGAGATGCCTCATACAGTGATGTATGTACAGTGTAAAAATGTGTGTGCAATGTTATACATACACATAATAATAATATAAATATAATAGGTATATAATCATTGATTCTTATATCATGAAAAAAAGATGACGTCCATCGATTTCAATTGCTAATCAATCAGTGTTGTATGTACATTTATTAATAATGCATAAAATATATCAATATATGTACATGTTTGTTTCTGGTATGTGATTTTATTACAATATCGTAGGAAGTCACTTATTTTGAAAATGTGGTCCCGTGATACAAGTTCGATTTTGAAACATTATGGATTTTAATGGCAACGTAAATCTATGTAATAATTTTCAGCAGAATTTCTAAGAAAAGCGGTCTTACACCATGTGTTCAGAGATTCTTTTTAAAATTTTATTTGTCAGATTCGCATGGAGCGCGGGTCTCTCGATTATTCCTAACAAATTGTACACTCACCTCAATGCAAAAATAGTATATTGTAAAACTAGTGGAAAAAGTGGTCGATTCTGAATGAGTGTGAAGTTGGTCGCACGAGCGAAGCGACCCATTTCACGCTCGCGTTAGGAAAAATAAATTATAATTATTACAACAATTATGAGTTCTTTTTTCTCAAATATAATCTCCTGCAAACTTCTGTAATCGGTATGTCGGACACAGCCGGTATTCCGCCTGGAGCGCCTGGAGTACTTTCGGTTTTTTGTAGAGCGTACTTATCCGTGATGGTCCTAATATCATCGATATCTGGAGTTATCAGCATATTGATAGCCGGATAAATCAGAAACGCAAATGTAGCTAGGGCGGTCAACGCCCATACGGGGATCGCGACTGCCCAATACTTGGAGGGCCAATACGTCAGGCCTAAATAGTCGTGCAGCACTTCGTCCGGTATTATCGCCCATGTCATGTACAACAGGAAGAGCATATTCGACCCGATATACATGACGTATCCGTAGACGGCCCTGGGGCCATAGGGCGCAGGAGTATGCTCCATACTTAAAAACCAACAGTAAAATATAATCGGCAAAAAGCGTTGGCTCAATAATGAGTGTATGTCGGCTCAGGTGGACCGAATCGTTGAATGGTTTCCGTGACTAGTAGTATATTATCGAAGAAGGATGTAAGGGCTACCCGTACCTTCCTTGCTTCCTTACCACTGTATGACCTGTACAGAAGAGAAATGGTGAACGTCAATGAAACGTCATACAGGGAGATTTAATAATTTCGCACTTACACTTCCAGAATATTGTCGTTCAACGTAAGCTTCTTTGTGACTCCGCTTCTTGACGGCTCCTTGTCAACTCTGAGCACTTGATACGCGACTTCTGCTTCTCTGGCGCTTGGGAAAGGCACGGACAGATCTCTGTGTAAACGTTAAGGTTTCAAAGGCAGCGAATTGAGTCACAAAACTTATTATCAACTAGTTTGTAAAATAAGGATACACCTTGAGGTCACTCATGGCATATTCTACGGCGACGTCGGTTGTCCAAATTGAAATATCTGTCACTTTGTGTTCTGTAATCATAAATCACAGCAATGTAAGCACATTATATAAATCAATATTAGATCTGCCTATATCTGTGCGCGTACAAAAATTTCAATTCCTTCGATTTTCTTTGGAAAGAGCGGTCACTGCTGTCGCGAGATAACCTCAAACCGATCATTATTATGATTATTAGTGCAGTTGCGCAGCGCGATATATTTATTTAACGTGGCAGGTGGCAGTAATTTCTCCAAGGACCATGTAATAATAAACGTATTTAAAAACGTTGCAATTAGTATCGATACAACAGACATTCGAGCAACATACGTGGGAGTCCGGACTGTCCGGGATGTGTGTGTATGTGTGTGTGGGCGTTGCTGACGTCGCAACAGTCCCCTCGTAGTGGTGTATAAACAAATATCCATTACATTCCGAAGAAAGCGGAGGGAGAAGAAAGACAAAAGACAAGATTGCATTTACCGAGAATCTTTATCCGGTTCCAGAATCTCCTCCAACTGGACAGGTAATATTTAGATGCTCGTCGCCGCTGTTTGAATCCTCTTACAGATCCTTGCTCCGTTTTCAGGTTATGATTGACAGCTGCGTTTATTTACTACTGTCAATTAGTTTAGGCTTCGATTGACACTTTGCCACTGGGCTGGGCGGCTGGGCGGTAGCGGACGAACAATCAGTACTATGCTAAGCGTCCTGGAAGCAACGTCGTACATGGATAATTTGTCGAGAGATCGCACAAAGAGATCTCTATGTATTCGTCAATTTAGCTAATTAATATAATTGTGATCTGAATTATTTATTTTAATCCAATTGCATTTTACGTACGTCAGAATACGTAATAATTAAGGATTATTCGATCTTGCCCGCACAAAGAGAATTCTGCGACCAAAGATTACAAAAAGTACAAAGCACATTGTTTTGTTGTTCGACGATTAGAGATTTAATACTCGCTTGACGAACACGGAATACGCTTATTCTTACTCTCGAAGAAAGTATTAAATATGAGTGGACCGACGAAGGATCTGCCGTGGGGCCTGCAGTGCGCAAGGTGTATGTGTGGCGGCCGTTGCGAGCATCATCGTGTGAATTGGATGGCCTGGCATCAAGGAGGCGTACTGGCGCTCACTTACTTAGCGTACACTTGTTACCATTTGACTCGAAAGCCGATATCCGTGGTGAAGAATGTCCTGAGTCTCAATTGCAGCGATCTGCCAGTACCCGCGGATATTTTAGTGAATGACAGTAATCGGGATACCTGGTGCGACTGGGCTCCATTTGGTAAGAAGAGAAAGTGATGAGTATGAAGCAATATCGCGAAAAAAAATAAACGTTTAGAATGTGCGAATAATCTGCGTGTTGTTATTTCTACAGACACGAACGATGCACCGGCATTGCTCGGCATGCTGGACTCGGCATTCCTATTCGCATACGCAGCGGCTATGTTTCTCAGGTGGATATCTTAAAGTGACCGCGTCATTCTTATGCTATTATGGAATTTTGTCAATAATCGTCTTTCTTCTTTTTTTCCTACACAGTGGATTCATAGCGGAGAGAGTAAATCTGCGATACTTCCTCTCCATTGGTATGCTCGTGTCAGGCATATCGTGCTACTTGTTCGGCATAGCTAAACCGTACAATATTCATAATCTGTGGTACTTCGTTTTCGTGCAGGTAAATATTGATACGTTGTAAAACATACTGGATGAGTGATGCAGACGTTCTCTCACCCTTCTTCTTTTCTGTCCCCCTATATAGGTCCTAGGTGGAGTCTTTCAAACTTCCGGATGGCCAGGCGTAGTAACTGTCGTGGGAAATTGGTTCGGGAAAGGCAAGCGCGGCTTGATCTTCGGTGTGTGGAACTCTCATACGTCCATAGGAAATATATTAGGCAGTTTGATCGCGGCGGCGTACGTCGAGTCCGATTGGAGCCTGAGTTTCATAGTGCCTGGAGTGATAATGGGAGTAGTGGGATTCATCGTCTTCCTGTTTCTAATACCGAACCCCGTCGACATAGGATACAGCCCGCCCTCTTCTCTCGGATATCGGAAAATTGATGTAACGAATAGCTCGGACGATGACTCGACTGACGTAGGTTACGAATCTCGTAGTGTCACCGACGTAAGTTCCCCGTAGTCGTGGTCTTCTTGCGCTTCTTCATTCAGCAAATCCTAGTATTATCATAGTAGATATTTTTTTCAATTTTAATAAGCATAAAATGTAACTTAACACACTACTTGTCGATTAACACACGTAATAGCATGCTCTCTCTCTCTACTCACGTTTCTATGATTACAGTTTTGTTTTCTTTAGTTTCCCTAGGTTTCTTTAGTAATATAAGCGCCAAGATAAATCGTTAAATTATTTTTAGTAGAATTTTAGTTTGCACGTCCATAATAAATAAACATCTACTGTACGTAGCGTGTCATCTATCGCTGTGTCTACCGTGAACAACTTGCTGCCGACGTAAGTGCATGTGCCACTCTTCCATATAGTTAACGCTTCTATTTTCCTTTAAAATATAACAATTTCAACAAAAGATTGCAATGCATGTGGTATATACATATATGTTTATTTAATTTATTCGTAATTCTTAAACCGCTCAAGAATATGTATCTAGTGTGAGCAGCAATACAATAGTGTTACTATAAAATTAATTAATATCATAACTGCTTTTTTAACGTGTGTACAAATAGTATTAGTAATAATATATCATGTAATTTATGTCTAAAAGAATTTGGCAAGTGAACGATCTGAAACCAGCCCAATGCTGTCTGGACACCGACGTGAGCATAATACATCTCGTAATAGCGCAATTGGCTTCATAGGTGCCATGAAGATACCGGGTGTCATCGAGTACTCCTTATCACTATTTTTCGCGAAGCTCGTTAGCTATACATTCCTCTATTGGTTACCATTGTACATCGCGGCATCAAGTTGGTATTCGCGACAACATTAATCTTCGACTAGCGATGTAATTTTATTTTAGAGTTTTAACAAGAATTTTTTGCAGCTACATACGGTACGACTGTGAGTGCGGATCTGTCGGTTCTGTTCGATGTGGGCGGTATAGTAGGCGCCATAGCAGCTGGAGTTCTCTCCGATTATAGCGGGATGAGCGCGTTAACATGCGCCGCAATGTTTGGACTTGCATTTCCTGCGGTAAGCACAATATTTTTCTTGATACATTCCGTGCCGGAAATATATTTTTGGTAACTTCACGCATACATTCCACATTGTTAGAGATAATTTTGCCTTTAATATGTGTTTCATAATATTTATAAGACTGCAAAAATTGGCGAGCCACTACATGAGTTAAATTCGAATGACAATACGCAATATAAATTCGAATGTATGTATATAGTTACCTGTGTTTTAATACATGTATTATATATTTCAGTTGTTTATATATGACTATATCGGAAGTACCAGCCTAGGCGTCAATATAGTATTACTACTGATAGGGGGACTATTAGTGAATGGCCCCTATGCATTGATAACGACCGCTGTATCGGCCGAACTGGGAACTCATCCTAGTTTAGGAGAAAATTCAAGGGCCTTAGCTACAGTGACTGCCATTATCGATGGAACTGGTAGTATTGGTGCTGCGGTTGGTCCGTTATTAGCAGGTCTGGTGTCTCGATGGAGCGGATGGGACAACGTGTTTTACATGCTCATGTGCGCGGATTTATTTGCCCTACTGGTGAGTCCGCTTTGCTTGTTCGTTGACGTAGAAATGAAGTCATCGCAAGTAACGCGCTTCCTGTGTTTTGCTGTTTCAGCTTCTGTCCAGATTAGTTTACAGAGACATAAGATCGTACATACAAAGACGAAGAGTTATTCAAATTTAGAATGCGAAACAAAATTTGCAAATTGTCGTGTAGACGCGGAGGTATTCTTACGTCTGGATCTGTGTACTTATAACTTTGCTCGCATCGTGCGACACCTAAAGAGGTGCAGCGTTTTCGAATAAAATTTCCGAAAAAAAAAAAAATTACAGTCAATATACGAGAAATTTAATAAGGAAATAAATAGTGTATTTTGGACAGTATTTTGGTCATAACTGTTACACGAATCTAAATGTAGATAATTTTAAACGGAAAAAAGATAACGGGCTGCTATTTTAAATAATTTTTGAAATCAATATTTTTTAATTATATATACAAAATGTAAAAAAATGTTATTTTTTTATTGTATAATATCAGATGTTACCATACGAATTTATAATTATATTACGATAAAAATATACAGTTTAATATACAATCGTTTACTATACATATTTCTGTAATAAATTATTCTGTACCGATGTAAACTTAAACATTAAACTTAAGGAATACCAGTGGGAATTATGTAGCTGATAGCATCGGCGAAGTCACCCCACGCAGCTCTTTGGGTTTGGAAGATGATTATCCAAGCCACCAAAGCAGCTGTCCAAATGATTGCGCCAATAGCAGAGAAAATTACATCTGAAACGTAAATGTGTATCGTTAAAGAAGGAAATCTCAAATTTGTCGTAGGAAGTAAGTCGATCAATACCAACATTTCTTAATTTGTTTCTGTTCCTCGTAAGATGGTGCTACGAAAGCCTCCTTCGAGAACCAAACCGCGTTCACGGCCCACAGGAATGGCAGAAGCGCAAAACCAGCTACAACAAAGAAAAATTGAAGAAAATATCGGCAAGTTGATGCGACCTTTGGCTACGCTCTACGTTCCTTTCCCTGTATTTATTATATGTCTAGGTTTCGGAGGAAAAGTGAGATAGGCGATTAATATCGGCAAGAAGGCAAAAGAAAAGCGGTTGAAAAGAGGTCAACAATGTAAAAGCTAAACCGGCTAAATCCCATCTTAATATCTGACAAATCGTTGCGCAAAGTATCGGTATCAAGACCAAAAATTATTATCGCGTCGCAACGCCAACGTACCGCGAAAATACCACTTGCAGAGGTGCAATTTCTTCTCGTTCGACATTTTGGCCAGGTCCATCGTGGCTCGTGGCGATGACAGCAGGCAGTCCCTAACCTAACTTCGGTTCTCGGTGTCGCGAGACCCCCTGCGTCTCCGTCCCTTGGATTAAATGATTCAGATAATAGTCAACATTGATCGGCGGGACGATTCTCGAATCGCGCACACGGCCGTCAAACGCGAGTAAAATAACGACAAGAGAAAAAGAAAGGAGAAAGGTGAGATTCGGCCGCGTCGCGGAGGGAGCATCTGGTCGCGCTCCCAAGATGGCGCCGTGACTGCGGCGAGAGTCGCGCCCCCTGGCGCGTGAGCGTCGCGGGTCACGTGGGCGCGGGACGCTCGAGTCCGACGAGTCCCCGCCGATGCCCGTGTCGCCAGGCCAGCCATTTTGGTACGTTAACATGGCGTCGCCGCCGGAGATTAATATGGCGTCCTCGGACATAATAACCGAAGTGGAGATTCAACCGGACATTCAGGAGGTCGAGATAGAGACGATCCCGGTGGAGATACCGTGCGAGACCGTGGAGACGACGATCGAGGGCGAGGACGGGCAGCCGATGATAGCGCTGCAGCCGCTGCCGGAGCCGGGCCGCGAGGAAATCATACTGCAGACCCAAGAGGAGATCGTTGGCGCGGACCCGCTCAGCGTGTACGACCAGATCCCGGTGCCGGACAACGACATTTATGTCGAGTCCAGCCCCGGACCGTCGCGCAAGGCCGCTAAGAAGGCGCGTAAGAGCGGTGGCACGCGTTTCCGCGCGTCCGACCACGCGATATTCGGCGAGATGGCAACCGAGACCAAGACTAGGAAGTGGGAACAGAAGCAGGTGCAGATCAAGACGCTCGAGGGCGAGTTCTCGGTAACGATGTGGGCGTCCGGCACGGACGACGGTGAGTCTACGCCACGCGCCACGCGGGTGCGAGCGTTTCGGACATCTCTCTCTTTCTCTCCCTCTCTCTTTGCCACCTTTTCTCGCCTCTCTTAGACCGTATTTATTTTTTTCTTCGCTCCTTTTATTCGTCGCGTTCTCCCTTCGCCGAGCCTTCGGCCGTCAGGACCGTTCTTTCTTTCATTCTATCTCTCCGTCTCTGTCTCTCTTTCGCTCTCTCCCCTCGTTCCTCCTGGCCCGTCGTATCCTCCACGCACACGGGCGGGTACGCACTTCCGGTGCGATGCTCAGATCGATACTGCGTCGTTGCACGGGCGCGCGATCGCCCCGCGGAAAAATCGGCGATCCGGGCCGTCGGCGACGTCCGCGCGGCCCAGCCGGCTTGACAGGCCGCGTTGTTTGTTTTGATCGCGCGAACGCCATTATGCTTGGCCCCCACGGGGGCAGCCATATTTTGAAAATGGCCTCTTTTACGCGGCGGATCGCCCGCCCGTTCGCCGCCGTGCAAATGGCGGCGATGGCGACGGCCGCGGCGAGCCGAGCGACGCGACGTCGCGGCGCATCGCGGCACTCGGTGTCCTGTCGACGTTGTTCCGACGATACATTTAAATTTTGCCGTCTATTTGAAAGAGAAACGGCGCTAGAGCGTTAGAACGAGCTAGCTGCGTTTCGTCAAGCGGGGGAAAAAATGGCATGTATATCTCGACAGTCCGAACCGTACAAAAGAAGTCCAGGCGACGCGCCGGAGCCGCGGAGCGATGCTCCGACTTCTGACGTCACGACAGATCCATGTTGCACCGCGAGCGCGCATACCGGGTGTGCTCGGTCGATGACACGGGCGAGCGATCCCCGATCGATATTTCGTTGATTCGCGCCTCCCGTTTGTCATGTCATTTAAAAACCGAATCGTATTTCGCAAAAATACTCCGAAACGAGCTTTGCCATTATTGTCCTGGTTAATTTCTTCGGAAAGAACTTAGGGGAGGGGGACTATTGGACGCGGATATCTCCTTCCCTTTCAGCACATGCATTCCCTTATCTTTATCCCATACGGTTCCTGAATAATTAAACACTTTTTTTTAAGGTTGCAACGAGAAAAAATAATGTTAATATGTATTTAAATATATATGTCATAATTTTAGGTAATATTTTTATTTTTGAGAAAACTCAGAAGGTAATTAAAGCATTGATGAATGTACAAAGAATAGTTTTAATTGCCTCGTTCATAGAAAATTATAAGAAATTAAATTAAGATTCGTCTTGGCCTCGACTTAATATTATAATAATTTTAATGGAAATTGTATCTTGTTGCAATTTTATTGTAAATTTTTTTCCTAAATGTTTCCTCCAACAATCCTGCCAAGTTTATTGTTTTCTCTTGTCAGATATAATTTCATAAAAATATATAAAAATACCTATATATTATATAGAGTTTACACAGAATATATAATCTATATATCACGAACTATATGATATATTGTTAAATGATATATATCATATAGTTAGTAGAAGTAACAAAAAATTGAAAAGTTACCGTAGCTTTTTTGGGACCGCTCTCCGTTTGTTGCTGTTAAAGGTAACATCCTATTAGCGCCTGACCTGGATGTGGATGTTCCAGATGAAGGTTCGAATCCAGAACCGGATCCCGACTACACGGAATACATGACGGGCAAGTCCAATGCCAAGTTCAATTCGAACAGCTCGGTGTCAGACGGCATGCCTGGTTTGGATCTCTCGGATCCGAAGCAGCTTGCCGAATTTGCGCGACCCGGTCATAAGTTGAAGGTGCGCAAGCCTCCGGTGATGGACGGCGTCGAGCGAACGATCGCGTGCCCCCATAAGGGATGCACCAAGATGTTTCGCGATAACAGCGCGATGCGCAAACATTTGCATACGCACGGGCCACGGGTGCACGTGTGCGCGGAATGCGGCAAAGCTTTTGTCGAGAGCTCCAAACTCAAACGGCATCAATTGGTGCACACGGGAGAGAAACCGTTTCAGTGCACGTTCGAGGGATGCGGGAAAAGGTTTAGTCTCGACTTCAATCTCCGCACTCACGTGAGAATCCACACCGGCGACCGACCCTACGTCTGTCCATTCGACGGATGCAGTAAAAAGTTCGCGCAATCAACGAACCTCAAGTCGCATATATTAACTCACGCGAAGGCCAAGTAAGTTTCGCTTCTTCGTTCACGCGAGATTTGAAATAGAAACGAAAAAGACACAAGCCTGAAAACATTTTTTTCGAGGAGTTATTTAGACGGAGATAATTTAGAAATTTAGATAATCATTATCCCCTGGTGTGCCAATTGGCTTTTTACGATATTAAAGAGATAACGTGCTCAAATTCATTGTAAACGCTCGTAATTTAGAAGATCAATATGGCAAAATGTTAAGTAACGAAAAAAAGGGGGAACTTAAATATCTGACGAGATCTTGTTTTGTGTAATTTCAGATCCCGAAACGCGATTGGGAGACAAGTACAACAAATTCAACTTCAACAGCCTCAATTCGTCCAAGTTGAAGTTGCAGATGTGGACAATCAACAGTTCATCGTCTACGCCGATTAGCCCCCCTAAACGTTGATCTCGTATATCCCCCGCTGAACACTACTACTGAAGTATCGTAACCATTAATTATTAATCTAAACAATGTAAATATTTTTACGGCGCGTACAAGTGATGTCATTACACATGACGGGCAGTCTCAACTAGCTGTCTTAAGAGAATTAATGAAAGAATTAATACCTCTGTGCTTAGATACGAATTACTTGAGAAATGTCTGGAGCACCATATTACCGTAAAACACGAGAGGGCAAATAAAGTTAAGCAAGATTTAAATAAAAAAAAATAAAAAAAAGATAATGTACCTTCTAAGATACTGCAAGGTAGACTGTGTTGCGTACTGCTCAATTTCTTGTTCTATCAAGAGAAATCGAGTGCGCTTGCATAAAACACATATATATACATATACACACATACACGTACACACGAGACTGTATATATATATAAATATATATAAGTACAATTAAAATATTGTATACAGTATATTTTGGAGAAATTCAGATGGGAATAAACCACGAAGATGCATCTTTTTCCGTCGGACTCAATTGTACCATCTTGGTAATATACGACTTTTACACTGTATAATGCTGAGACTTGTTGATAGTCGATGAAAAGAGAGAGAGAGAGAGGAGAAGAAGGAAAAGAAGTTACGCGTGTGTAACGTATATTACGAAATCCGTGAATATTACGCAATCTTTATCGTACGATTCGGTACTGTTTTTTTTTAATTTTTTTTAATTATATATCGAGGGGTGCATAATCGGAAAGATGTCGCGATAGAATATTTGACGGGTATAGAAAGAAAATGTGGAAGTAACAGACGCGAAGAGAGAACATTGTACAAAAGAAAAAGTATATCGAAATGACGTTACTGCATCCCGATGTGATATTTGCGAAAACGTTGCGACGCCTGCACGCGTATCGAACGATTTGGAACGACTTTGGCGATACTTGAAATTTCGAGTAAGAAGCAATATAGCCATGGATAGATTTAATATCGAATTAGAATAAAATGTTTACTGCGTGCATCTCCCATTACGTCACTGATCATAATTATTCGCATATCATAATTTTATACGCATGAATGTTAATAGGCATACTAACGCCATGAGCACACATGCACCAGCCTGTACTAAATTAGGTAAACTTTGGATAATTTGTTTAAATCGTGTAAAGTATATATTCTTTCATAAAAAGAAAGATTTTACTTTGTAGCTGTATATAGATTCTTGTAGCTGTACCAATGAAATTGATAGTGTTTTCTTGTACAATCCAATATCTTTTTATAAAAAAGAAAGAGAAAACGGTTGATTTTTGAAAATTATTTAGCGCTTAGACGATGGTTTGACAACCCTTTTTTGTCAATAAACTTCATTTCTATTGTTCCTTTTGGCAGTTATCATTATACTTCGCAGTAGGCATCTTTGTATGACAGATACAAGTATATATACAAGTATATATACATATATATATGTTAAAAATTTGAAATTTTTAATATATTGTACGGTCTATGTTTCATTAATTCAATAACATTCGCAAGAAAACGAAAATTTAATAAAGTTTGAATGTAAAATACAGAACTATCCAACAAGGAAGAAACGTTGTCATCTGCTTTTTGAAAGGAGGTAATTCAGTAATAATGTGTGTGTATGATTATATCAATGCTATTCGTAGAAGATAGATATCTTCGGAAAGCATATGCACGCGCGCATATGGATTTTTTTGTTGTATTCGTAAACCGCACTAGCCCGTGCATCGTTTTTCACGGTATATGTTTAAGTTCGATAATTTATATGAAAAAAAAATATAACACGAAATAAAAAATATATATTTCTATGCTTATATTTTATTTGTGTCTGTCATTGTTCACTGCACGAAAACGACATCCTTCGATTACTTCAGGACCGCTAAGTTATTAACAAGACTCAGGACACAGCATTGAAGTACACTAATTCTATTGATTATACGTATAAATATATATAAGACATATATATTTTTGTCCGGAGTACGCAGGATAGTATCGTTCGCGGCAAATCTATCCGTTAAATGATGATTGCTTGGAGGAATGAATATTCGTACAAACATAATTCTCTACAATTAATATCTTCCAGATCGGCCGTCCCTGCCTTTGTCGTCCCTTTTCCGGCGATCTTTGGATCTCGATCGTCTGTCGCGCGATCGCGATCGGCGCTTGCGATCACGGCCGCGTGAACGCGAACGCGATCTAGATCGTCCTCTGCCGCTCTTCTTGCGACTGTATAAGTAGCGGCGCAGCTCACGCGAGATTGGCTTCAGGTGCATAAAGTTGCAGAATCCTGAACGCGTGCATTCTCTGAAATGAAAAGGAAACAAGGAATATATAAGAGCACTAACAATTTTATTCATTATCACGTATGTTCGCACGACTGAATGGTTTCTATGTCAGGTTACCCCATTTCGTATTGACGACAGCAGGCCTCTCTGAAATCCGTCACTGGCGAGAGTTCAGCGTATACCGGTCTACCGCCAAACCAACGGTTGTTTAAATCGTTCACAGCTCTCTCCGCATCTTCCTCCCTGCGAAACTTGATGTAAACATTGCCTACCAGGTGATCACCGAGATTGTCGCACACGTTCATCTCTTCGATCTCGCCGTACTTGTCTTCGCACTCGACAAAGACGTCCTCAAAGAAATTATCGTAATGTTCTTGCATCTCTTCGTCGGATACGTTTGCAACCACTGGAACAAAAGTAGATATACGGTTTTAATTTGAAAAGGAATTGAACAAGATATCTAACGTGCAAATTGACAAAACGAGTTATAATTGTAAAATCATAATATTGCTTACGGTGAGAGCCATCTGCGCTCTTGGCAGAATTCTGAGGATTTACATACAGGTTTTGGAGTAGACATGTCTGGAAAAGAATGTACACAGTTAATTCGTTTAAATATATTAAACGTTTATCGACTACTTGAATATTTAAAAGCTATAGATAACAGTTATGGTATGGTTGAAGGAAAGTTTTAATTATTTCTTCGTTGCGCGGGCAACTAATGAAAGGTAGAAAATTAATAATACAGTTTCGAATTAGATTATACTGCTAATTATTTAATACACACCTGGCTGAACGTGGGCTTGTTGTGAATACGCGAACACCGGTCACCGTGGCGGCAGGCACCGATTTTGAAGTAGAAGGAGCAGTTTACTCTGAAAAGGAAAGGAAAAACGTTAGGTTAGGATAAAAGTCACTCGCGTCTCTCCTCCTCGTTCACGACTCGGCGAGTCTCTTCTTACTTGTCCTTCTCAGTGCCGAAGATAGATGCTAAATACTCCGCCATGGCTCACGTCCCCTCGAGCACGAGATTATTTCGACGGTTGTTGTTAACTCGCTCGAAATCATCAAAACTTGTCGGGCATCACGCGCCGAGTAACGTGAAAATGGCGGCCATATTAGGTTAGTATTCATGAACAGGATAAAGAACGCGGTTGCATTTTCACGAAACAGAAGCCACCAATCGGAACTCTTGTCAGATGCAGAAAAGTTAAGGTGCTTTCCAGTTAACGACACAAGCGTCGTTTTATCTTTGTTGCTCACTAGTGTTGAGAAGAAACAGAATGACACTTGTGTCGACTTGAGTCGCTAAATGAAAAGCACACGTAATATGGCTGCTAATTAGAAAATGTGCACGAATGTTCGAAAACGATCTAATAAGTTGCTTTCTATTCACACTCAAGTGATCTCTGAGTCACTCCTGTTATGTGAGTATTTTATCCTCAGGTAAGATATGTGTCATTTTGTATTCACTTGCTTATTTTGATGACAGCTATCGCATAACAATTAACGATACATTGCAGGTTCATAATCTTATTTTTGACATGTGAGTCTATTAAACTCACTAAAGCACACGGTCTCGATATTGTGGGTAAAAACTTGGTTAAATCTCCCTTGGCCAACATCCAAAAAGAACGTGCATTCAACTGATCGAGTTATTATTTATGACACTTATGACGTCACAAGACAGAGAATTATCTGACAATGAGTTTGGATGTAAATGGAAAGCAACTTATATCGCCGCGGAAGAACTTTTTTTCTATAGATATATCATATACTATTGTGAATACGCGATTGTTACTCTTTTGCATGCTGACAAGTAAGATTCAAGTATTTAACTATTTATAGTTTTTATCCACAATCAAGTCTATAACATCAGACTCAAAAGTAAGATTATAAACCTGTATTGTTAAATATAAATCGAATATTAATTGAACCGAAAAATTATATGATATATGTATATATGCATGTCTAATTAATTAATTTTAGATTCTATCTAATGTAAAACATTAGAGGATAATAATAGATCTTAAAATTAATATCATATTATATATTATATAAATTAATGTTACATCGTAAAACTAATACGTCGAATTTTTAACAGTCACGCGAACTTTTATTAGACTATCTATTTTTAATAGTAATCGGTAATATTCTTCAATTACTTCTGAAGACCCTATTATACGACGTACTTTATTAGATCTATCACAATCAGCAGTATTATAATTTGTGAATTATATAATCCGCTCGGGAAAGCGAATGAAAACGAATTTATTTGGCAACTAAGCATAAAATATTGTCGAGAAAATCATTGGCGTTTATGCGAGCGCATATTGCATTTCGTACGCATGTGAGCTTTCAGCTTTGAATAGCGTTTAATGAATAGCGTTTAATAATGGGTCTCCGGGATACTTCTCATTGACAAACGCAGCGATAAGGATATCTCGGCTACGATCTCGATAGATATCACGAATAATATCCCTATAACACGTGGAATAATACTCGATTGTCACGTGCATATCTGCACGGGATTGCTAACAAATAAATAATTTCTTTTTTATCGTATATGATAAGATTTAGAGCCATACTTTCACCATTAAATCCATTTCGGATCTATCATTCGCGTCAGAATTTAGGATTCTATTTATAATTCGTTATGTCGGGGGAAAAACATTTGATGAACAAGGTACACGCATGTAAAATGTATAAAATACGAACGTATATAAAATTGGATAGAATTATAAAATTGTAATATACATATAATAATAAAATATTACAAATATTTTATTTTTAAAGTAATAGATAAATATCTTAATTATTTCTTACATATATATTTCCTACATTCTGTTTTAGTTCTTCATTGACAAGGCCGAACTTGTCCTAGTCATCAAGTTGTCGTGTTCCGCAGAGTCCCAGCCACCTGTCTAATAATGCGCCTCCGTATCCGGTACCGCCTAACCGTTTCCGGGGCTGGATGTTACCCCCTGCGGCGTCCTCACACGCGACCCCCGCGCAAAAGGGGGCACGAGACCCCAAAAACCCTCCACGCTCCAATGCACCGCCTTCCCCAGTTTTCCTGGGGAACGGACCCTCCCGCGGCGGGTGCGTGTCTTCGGCATCCGGACGATCGATTTGTTATTACGGCTCGTCATTGTGTCAGTGTGAGGGAACAGTGAGAACTCCAGCACTCGCGATCGTCGCTATTTTCCACGAACCACATTCTAGGTAATCGTTCTAGAGACGTATGCTCTCAGGATATGATAATGCTGAAAACGTAGTGACAATGATGAGACACTGGGTGAAAATAATTCACTTTTATTTCTTTATTTATTTAACTATTTACAACTACTGTATACTACTCCCTCTCATCTATTGTGAGATTTGGGGAACCCAACTTAGAGAAAGTTTCATTACTTTCACTCACGAATTTCAAAATTGCGAATTTTAAATTTATCCCTAAATATAAATGCAGCTCGAAACAAGAATACAATATTCTTTTGTTTCAAATTAGAATTTGTATTATTACCTACAAAATTTGTATATAACATATTTTAATCGTTTATTTGTGAAATTAATATACGCGTATGAGATATAATTCTTTTGGTCGGTATGATTAATGATTGGGCGGAAAAGTATCATTTAGAATGCACATCTCGCTGTGGATCCCGATGCAATTCGTGAACACAAATCGATTTCACACTCCCGCTGAGTATAAATTAATAGACACTTACGGGTGCGTTTCGATGGGTTGTGTGTTCCGTGTACCAGGTGTTAGCCGTGGCCTCCTCCTGCTAGGATGCACCGTGAAAAATCGCTTTATCCATGGAGCGGTTAATCCAGAGCCCCTTATGATTGCTCTGAAAATCTGTGTTTTACATGCCTCTCGGAGAGCAATTGAAAATGTCATCACAAAAATATATAATAGTGCACTAAATTATAATATATTAATTTTAAATACCACAATAAAAGTTAGATGTAAAAAATTTCTCATTTTTTTCGGTAATTTTGCCTTTCATCTCGCTTGCATTAATTTTCACAAAATTCTTGATTCAAGGCGCCACTATAATACAATTTGAATCACGTAAAAGACTTTGAAATGTATATTTAGAAAGTATGTTTTATTTCCCTCTTATAAGTTTGTCTGACATGGATTTTAAGTAATTTTGAGAAAAATCTAAAGCACAGAAGCACACTATTAATTTTGATTATAATTTGGTCTGTATATATTCGAAATATGAAGGGGATGCTTTAAATTTTAGCGCATTTTATCGCGTTGTACGTTTTTTATTTTGCAAATATCGACGGCAAATCTTTTCGGCGGCGCGCGCGCGTAGGGATAATATTTATTCGATTGCCGATGCGAAGTGAGATTGCACGGATCGTCTCGTCATCGCCGGAATCGCATTTAAGCGCGTACACGTGGCCACGCGGGCTTTGCCATTTAAATCCGATCCCCTTTAGTTATCTCTCGATCTCGAGGATCAAAAATTCTGCCGGACAATGGATCCGTCCCGACGCAGTATTTTCATTTCGGATTATACCGAAACAAGCTGCGGCCGCTACATTCGATTGAAGTATACGCGATTACCAAAGCAAAAAGAGAGAAGCGATTCTTGGTTTTTCTAAAAGCCACTTTAGGTAGAATCTGTAATTCGCATCAGAATTCAAAATTGTATTTTATATAATTTTATGGGCTGTGCATATATATATCATTGTTGTAAAACCGAATTTCGCAGCTCCCAAGTTCTCCTTGTTAGATAATATTTAGATTAAATCTTTCTTTGAAAAAGTTGCTTATTACGTATACATTACGAATATAATTATAAAACACCGATTAAATATTTTAATTACTTTAACACGTGTGATACTACACGCGAAAAGTGTCAGTGTGCAAGATGCAATTATTAATGAATGGGGATATTAATTACAGCCGTGGGAACTGGAAACGCCGTTTTCCCGATTCTTTCCGGAGAAGCGTCACAGATGGAACTCATGGAACTATAACTCACCCAGGTTCGACGTACCCTCACCTCATAATTTCGGAGCTGCTAATTATCGATGTGTAATAGATGAGGCCCGAAATCATCCGGAAATGTAAGGATATTTGTAACAGGCCCTAGTTTATTAGCTGAGCGGCATTATCAAAAAGAGAATATCTCCTCTGAATTTATCTATTGCTAAATACTATTGTAAATACTAAATACATAAGATAGAACAGTTTTAATACAATTATTCTCTCATTACAATATAAAAAGTGATTATTAGATATATAAATACAGTAAATATTATAATAAATAATTCTAATAATAACTATAAATATAACTTAGATAAGTAATTATTATTGCAGGTTATAAGAAAATAGTTTTCAAATTAAATTACAATTACTGCAGAAAATAATACAAATCGATATTTTTGTCGTGTCAAAAGAATTAAACATTTTCTTTAAAATATTATATTAATTCTAAGAAATCTTATTGCACAGTAAAATGAATAACATATTTCACTTATAATAATTTTTGCGAAGTGCAAAATCTCGTAAAAAATAATCGGTGGAACTTTATTTTATTTGTGAAATATTTTTCCTCTTCGGTAGATTTTCTGCTACAAGTAATATGAATTGCACGACCATCGAGATAATTTTTATGTCGCGATAAGAATGCATTCGACTCAAAACAGGTGACACTCACTTTTTATTCCCGACACGTGATACCTTTTATACAAAATTATAGTAAATATTGTCTGGTTAGAGAATGATGCGCGCATCTGGCAAACATATTGTCGGCGTAGCAGTAGTGTATTATTAAACGTTATTATCTAGCGCTTAATAACGTGTTGGTGAAATCAGATCCTACCTGTTACGGTACGCATAATTACAGGTTCGCTCGACAGGGCCAAATGTCGCCGAAGTGGTTAACCCGGGACGCAACCCTTTGCAACGACGTTGCGGCTGCACGTGACTCGCACGTGCGACCAATTTCTTTTCTATTACGACAAGCTTATCCGTGATTCGACGATGTGCTTTTCGCCGTTGTAACAGATTCTCGAGAGAGATATAACAACTCGAGCGCAAAAGCGAATTAGCAATTGATAAGAGAGGAGGGGAAGATTGTCAAGAATTGCGTGAATAGCAAAAAAATATTTTGCATGTATCGCAGTTGCCTTATATGTAATTATACAGTAATTATATTACATATTATAAATATTATAGTTTGATTGCAAAGCCTATCACTTTAGACTATTTATAATTTGTGTCAGATATCAAGACAAAATTTTATTTTTATTTTGCGTGCCATGTACCTTAATATATATTTTACGTATGCTTGTGTGGTATTCTAATTCTTGTAATGCATATTACGCGGTTCATAAGGCTATAAATAAAATTTTAACTTAAATAATGACGCGAAATTATAGATTGTCTAAAGTTTTATATTGTTGTATATATTTCTATGTATTATTTATTTTGACATGTTTCTTCTATGCACATATCTTTATAAAATATATATAATAAATTTTATGCTTTAATACAGCCCATCAAAATTGATGTATGTTTAAATAAAAGGTTGCGTACAAGTGCGAAAAAAAAAACATTAATGTGCTTCACTTTATTACTTGGCGTCGCAAGTTTTCTCTCGCTCGACGGTTTATAACCGGCTTTCTTCACTGCGATGGACTTTCGTTCGTGTCCGTCGGACAATTACGAATTCATGAAGCCGCCGTAGACTGCACTTGAAAATTCTGTAAGTTCGATATGGACAAAACCTATAGTTAGGCAAGTTCGCAAATAACGAATAACATTCAACAACGATGAAAACTTTTCGCGAAAATGCCAAGCGTAAGGGGCAACGCTTTATTCAGTAGTTGACGACAGACAGTTGACGGCTATGGAATGAAACATTATTATTTTAATGATTAGCGTTTTTAATGAGCTTGAATAGAATATTTAAAAGAATATTCAAGTATTTGACAAGATTATAAAATTTACCTATAAAATATTTACATTTATATTCCAATAGTTCGTATCTTACATATTTTATATAGGTAGTTACAATTGTCGCTGTCTGAGAGAAATCGAAAGAAAGTCTTTTTCTATGCTATTTATATCTGATTTTACTGTCAAAATAAATAGCTATTAATATATCATGCAGAGAGAAATAATAGTTGCCATGTTTTCAAAGATCCTTCAATTAATTTAGATTTCATCTTTCTTGTTACATGCCTACATGCCTATATTCCAACTTGAATTACTTTGATATAAGCAGGATTTAATTATATTTTAGCAGCTTGATGAAATAATTAATTTCGCACAATTTTAGATTTTCAAGCATTTGCTCGGTAAATAAACTCTCACTAATTTTTCTGCTTGATTGTATCCGATGGCGAAGTTTAAACCCGTTTCTTCAATTTGTTTTTCTATATTTTTTAGACGTGATTGCGCGGATTTTCTTTATGTAAGAGTTATCTTGTCATTTTTGAGAAAGTATACGTTCCGATAAGCCGCGGTTCTCCCGACGGCGTTCCGGGACGCCGTTCCTAGGAACGGGAACGACGACGGTTCCTTATCAGATCGATGAAGAGGCGGCACCGCTACCCCAGCAACCAAGGGGTAGGCAGGCTCTGCTGGTCGCGCGCTCGACGAATGGGGTCGTAGCTGGGCTTTCAACCCCGGCATGGCTTCCGCCTTGCTGTTCGCCGCTTTTCGATTTTAGTCCAGCGAGAGACCACCTAAACGATCGTAGCACGGTAGGTGGTCTGCAGGTCGGCAGGAAGCTGCGGAAGCTTACGACTTTCGGGCGCGAAATCGGCAAACCCTTGGAAGAACATTCAGGGACGATCCTGAAGACGGGCGGTGGTGTTCCCTATGAAAAATCGCACGTGCGACAATTTGGTGACGTTTCTTGTGACGAGCAGATCTGCGGGGAATGTCTAAATTGTCAGTGCGAGTGCGTGGGAAGAATAATAAGGAAACTTGAAGAAAGACTTGAGAAGAACCTTAAATTAGTAACAGCGCTGTTTTTTTTACATACTCAGAGACGATAGTCGTGACAGCCTGGACACTCGTAAAAACCGTGAATATTTCAGATGTTAATGTAATTGCAAAGTGCAATTAGGGAACTTTTTCTAGAATATATTTAAGACACGTGAATTTCCTTATAGTGATTACTATAAGAATTGCAGACGATAATCGTGATAACCTGGACAATCGCTGTAATGAACAAATCTGAGGGAGGACGATTAAAGTGTCAGTTGCAAAATGCAATCTGGCAACTGAAAGATGGCATCCTCAAAATGTTTTAGAAATAAGTAAATTCTAATGGAAAGAATGGCCAAATGCAATCGTAATATTTAAAATCAGATGTCTTCGTTGAAAAAACCGTTTATGTTCGCGAAAATAGAATATAATTTAGAGTGCCATCATTTTCATCTAATAAACGAAAAAGTATATATAATTATAACAGCGTTCACGTAATTACAAATTATTTCTCAATAGAAGTTTCTGGAAAATCTTATGCAAACATTTCTTGCAATGAAAAAGTAAACGAAATTACGCGTTAAACCTAATGATGCGTGAAACAAACAGCAATGTAAAATCAGCAATGGGATAATGACAAAGAAGATTTCAAGTCAATGTAACTAATTGATGCCCAGTATAAACTAATGCGTTGCAATTTCTATCACTGTTCTTCCGCAATTACAAGAAAGTGAATTAAAGATTTGTTAAATGTAGAGGGATTTTATAATCAAGAAAGGATAAAAATATGAAGACGCATAATAAGAAGATATTATTCTCTTCGTCGTAATATCATAAGTAGCATCGTTGGACACGAATCGAAGCATTTCGAGGCGTAAGCGCCAAGTGTTAACAAGTGTTTGGACAAATCTCGACACGTGCCTGGAGTGGTTCGCCAAGACACGTGTCGCTGTTTAGAAATATTATCCTGCACGCGCCTAGGTGGCACGTGTCGATCGTATCTCTCCCGATCCTCGAGACGTGCTCGAGGACGCCGTAGGCGCGATCGAAAATTCCGGCAAACGATGCGATCGTTCGACGCATCGTCCACGAGGATTTGGAATTCAGTTGCCAGCATCGTCCGATAATTAAATGATTATCGCTCAAGGCGTTTAAAACGAAGAATTAAATGGCGTGAGATACAGGACAGTCTCGTCGTTCTACTTCTAGTCACATGATCTAGTCATATTTTTCGTTAATTAGTGATCGATCTTCAGATCTAATAAGCGACATTAAGGAAACTAGATTGTAATTAACAACCGGGAGACCCCTAATCATCAAATCTGGGTGATTATTGCGCGAACTGGACACCGGACACCGCCATCATGTATTCGATGGACAATCTCGAGCGGGATATGATGAATCGGCATTACATATACGAGGCGCACAGCTTCCTCGGCAACCCGGCGATTCCGGGTTTGCCGCCGCACTGCGGGGTACCGACCACGGCGACGCTTCCGGCGGTGATCCCGTCGCAGATCCCGTCGTCCCATCATCCGTCCGGTAGCACCGGTAGCACCAGCGGCAGCGAGCATTATCTCTACGACGAAAACAGCAGTGACAATGAGAGCGTCTACAGCAGCGATCAGGAGAATCACGCGAGAGAGTGAGTGCGCCCCGCGTGAACGCGGAAGTGCTTCCGCCACTTTGTACTCTCGGACTTCTTTGTTTTCTCTTTCCTTTCTTTTCTCAGCCTGGAGAACCCAGAGATGATCTTTCTCCTCGAAAAATTGCTGATTCTTTAAATTGGGCTTAAAATTTACTTTGAAATGTTAATTTTCTGAAGTAAGGATTTCAAGTCATGTCACACAATCTTTAAAATGACACTTCTTGGGTGCTGGGTGATACTAGAGCATATATTTTAATATTAAACTATGAATAAAATCGAATTTCTTTGATTGCGCTTTATAAATTTGTGTAAGTAACGTTCGCTACTTTTGTGCGTAGACGAAGTCGGAGTAATCGGCGCGGCGGGGCACCGGGAAAATGTCCGAGACAAGTGCAGGTACAGCAACGGCAGGCGGCGAACATGAGAGAGCGAAGACGTATGCAGAATATAAACGACGCCTTCGAGGGCTTGAGGGCCCACATACCGACCTTGCCGTACGAGAAGAGACTGTCGAAAGTCGACACGCTAAAGCTGGCGATCGGTTACATAAACTTCCTCAACGAGCTCGTCAGGGCGGACAAGGGTAACGACTCTTTGACGGGCAATAGCGGTCTCTCGAGGTGCTCCAGCCGGGACGAATCTAAGAAGGTCATAGTCCGTGGTGAGGCCAATTTTAATTACATCTCTAAGGGCAGTTCTCGATTAATGTGTCGCGACAGTCGATTTAATTTCTACATCCATACTGAGTGCTAAAAAAAATAAAATTCTTAAGATTACTTAGTATGTGTTTATGTCGAAAGATATTATTTATTAAGTCTTTGATAAGGTTGACATCAAGCTTTTTATAACGCGAAAAATTTGATGGGTTCATCTCTTTATATTTGCAGCATTAAACTGACGCGCGACGTCGTTAAACCAGAATTAAAATTGCTCTAAATTAAAATCTACTTAAAATTATAAAATGGAATTTTATGTTTGCTAGCTTTTCCGAATTATGATATTTTCGACGAGTTGACAAAAGGAAAATCGAGTTGCAACTAATTGAAACGTGTTAACGTCGAGAGCTGCCAATATTTTGTACGATTCTACACGCGCGTGGCTTAAATTTTGCAACGTGACGTACGACACATGTACAAAATTGGAAACTCGTTGAAATTTCGTCCGTGATTCGATTTTCACTGCGCTGGCCGCGATATTTGGTCCGATAATGCCGAACGGTATTGCCGCACTCCACGCTATTTCGATATTATGTGCACAACGTATTAGCGTCGGACCGGCGTGGCGCGGGCGCGAGCCGCTTCCACCCCACGCGGAATCGTAGGTCGATTTATCATAATTACCCATCTACCCTTTATTCCAGGACAGGTGTCCCCGTTAGATACGGGGTGCTTCGAGGTGAATTCGCCTGTCCAGGGATAATTGAGAGATTATCAAAAGTTTCGGGAATCGCGCGTAACTGCCCGTTACGTACACGCTTCGCTCTCGCACGAGTTTTATTAACTTTCGATTTTTTTAATTGCGAGTGTTTATCTATGTGGAGGCATTGATATTTTGGCAATTTCAATCGTTAATTTCACACTTTTTTCATGGATTAAGGTGTCCCTGGTGCCGATCCATTTTCCTCACGGTCACCAAGTTTATAGCTAATCTTCATCGAATTGCGACTTTCAGGCAGCGGTGGGAATCCATTCATCTCACACTCGCTCTCGTGGTCGAGAAAATCGGATATCTCGCCGAATGGCACGATGTATGCGAAAGTCTGGACGCCGGAAGATCCGCGAACATCGAAAAACGGGACGACGTTCGAGTAGACGGCGAATTTGACTTCATTCTTATAAGGAAAGGAAGGATCGGATGCGTCGCACGGTCCGCGAGGATGTTTCTCATCAGGGTGTTATTTAGTGTTTAAGGGAAAGCGTGTCTAGTCACACTGGTCCTCGTATAATGCGATTTGTACCTTACGATCATCGAAAGTCTCCGATTTTTCGGGCGACGGGGATGGTCACCGATATTTATACATCTCTTGCGACTTCGTCGAGAAGGCGTTACAGCTTGAATTGAATTAGCCATTGTAAGATATACGCGCGTAAAAATTTGAGTTACGGGAATTTTTTATTTAAAAGTGGAAACATCATTCTAGTTTATTACTTTTTTTTAAATAGATTACAAATGCAGTCTGAGTGTCTTCGACAGAATTTTGAGAGACTACCAAACATGTTTTAGAAAAAGAATAATGTTTTCTTGATTTATTTCTGGAGCGATTGCTCGCGTTTATTTTGCGATGGTCGATTCAGCTTAATTCTTGCCGTTTTGCGTTATGCAGATCTATGCGTTTGTATCTACGAGATGTTTTTACAAACGTTCTGTGGAACGTGCTTTGTAAATAGGAATTATCAAAATAGGCGAATTACAATGAGATAAGCACCGTTTATACATAATTAGTGCGACGTAAGAGAGATGATGCATAGCGAGCATCATTACTGCTACTGTGAATAACAAAGCCAAATAAATGTAGTTCCGAGAACCTCATTGCATTTTATTATTCACCTCGCAGGTCTTTCAAAAGTATGGACAGACAAAACTCACGTCCCTTTCTTCGAAAGAAAATCAAAGGATGCAGATAAGTAAAATTCCTGATAGTAAACGCCATGCACAAACTAAATTCCATTTCATCTATAAACGCTTTCATCAGTTAAATAACATAATTGAGTCGCGTCGAAGTCAAGATAACTATAATTATTTAAAAAAAGCTTTGTTAAACTGAGACAAAAGATAAAAGTTTTATTGTCTTTGCAATATTAAGAAACTTATTGATGCCATGCCGTTATTTGATAAAGTTATCACCGTGGAGCTTTTAAGTCATTAAATCTCGTCCGCGTTTCTGTAGTTTCGTGATTTCGAAGATGCTTTTAAGCAGCATTGTGCCGAAATAGCGCAGCGGCAAGATGGCCGAAAGCGCCGAAGGGTTGATAGCGCTCTAAAAGGTGCTCCTTGTGTTTTAGTAGGGGTGGATTCGGGAGAGAGAGAGAGAGAGAGAGAGAGAGAAAGAGATGGCAAGGAGAGGAAGAGAGCAGGAAACGCGGGGAGACGCGGTGGGCGGTACGTCGATATTGCGGCGTCGCGGCGCCCTGCGACTCAGCGGGGATAATGGCGTCGACGGCTGCGAGTCTTCTCACGATCCTTCGCTTCTTCCTCCTCGTCGTTCGCGACGCCGTGGCCAGTTCCCGTTTCCCGCGCTCTACCTCTTCCTCTCCCTCTTTCTCTCTATCTTTCCAGTTGCCGTTGCGGGGATCTATTATCGCACATCATTATCGTCATTAGCAACTCCGCGAGGCCGCGAGCAACGCGGAAGATAAGGAACTTCAATCCTTGCCGTTGCGTTATTACGCGTTCATATAGGGTGAAACATTGTCCAGTCTATTACAATCGCGATGGTCTTTTTTATTACCATGAGTTTCATTATGCGTGATTGCATTCTGGAAAAATGACGGTGACCTTGAGAACTCTTAGACACCTCCGTCTAATGAGTCTATTTTACGCGTTATTCTGACATCTCTCTCAAAGCTTCGCGTGCCGCTTGATTTTTTAATGCATCATACTGTAATTAATTACAAAATAAATCATCTCGTATGCATTTAAATGTCTGCTGTGTAAATATCTTTTAACAAATTACGTACATATCATCTTTTTTATCTCTTGTAATTTTTTAGACGTTGAGGGAATTAGATGCAAGATCGTCTTAAAGATTCTTTATTTCACGGAGTAACGCGAGGAATGCAGATTTTTTCCTCAAGCAAAAAAATTGAGAAAATAAAATGAGGGTTAAAGCCTGGGCAGAGTTAAAATTTTCCCCGAAATTCGGAGCTGTCTCAGTCAGACAGATTTAAATAAAATACATTGCGCGAGCCGCGCTCACTCGGCGACCCGCAGAGCGCGGTGGGCCACTATCAGCTGTGAAAACAGCGTTGTTTATAGACACCGCGGCACAATGAGGTGTAATTGAATCCATATTCTACCGGGGGTGTGTGCCCGGTGAACCCGAACCCTCTCGACGTCGAGGGGGGCCAGCGGAACGGCGGCCCCCCTCGCCCTCGAGTACTGCCTCCGGGGTGGTTGTACTTAACGGTTCGGGAAATCGAGGGTGGCCGTCGATTTGTGGACAATTAGGGACGATTTCGTGGCCTCCACCGGGAGGAGGGGAGGAGGCGAGTCGCGTATAACTACGATCGATTCCAAACTTTCATCGTCCGATAAGACGCGTCTAGTGTCATTCGATAAACGTGTCCAATGAACATTCGATAATCTTCGACTCGACTCGCCGAATTTGAAAATATTTCGCGAGAAATAAAATTTTGAATTTTTCATAAAATCCTTTCTGCGTGCTTGTAAAGAATCCGGAGAGACTGCTCGGATGACTTCCGCGCAAACATCCCTTTTCTATTTGTCATCACTTGAGTCGCATAATTTTAATACATTTAGCTTATTTTCTCAACTTTATCCGAACAGAATCCCATATAAATTCTTATTTAAAAAAATGCAATATTAAAAGATACTTGATATATATATTTTAAATAACAGGTTCCTTCAAAGAGGAAGTCGACATGAGATTTGTCGTTATTTGTCCGAATCTCGAAAGGAAAAACTTCCAGTGAAGGAAACTTCAAAGGAAACAGAAAAGGAAACTTTCAGTGATTATGGGACTCTCATCCGTTTTATACAGGAAACGAGCTTGTTTTATAAAGATAATATTTGTGAATGGCGATAAGAAATAACGTTAATATTAAAGAGGGACTGATAATGTATATCGAAACGAGCGTCTTATCAAATATGTGCTCTCTCGAGAGAATATGAATCGGTTTAGAGCGTTCGAGTGACCGAGAGCTTATCTGGGTTGACGCAGGTGTGGCGATACACCTGCCTTTATCGCTTGCACGCTCGATCGGGGTGAACAATTTTTTTAACCCCGAACTAATACACGCGAGTCAAGTAATAATCGAATAATAAAAAAACACGTAGCTTTGTAGTTAAAAAAAAAGATATAAATGAATCTAGACGACACAATTTGCAATCGCTCTTTAAATCGTATATACACAAAGAAGATAACATTTCCCATCAAAAATAAAATTTTAAACCCCACTTCGTGCGCCAGGAATTGCAGCACGTGACAGTACTCGCAATTTTTCCATCGCCTTTTAACAATTATTATTCATTAGAATGTAAAGGTGTCTGTAAAGGGTTACGATGAACTGATGGCAACCGAATATCGGGCACAACCGTCCGGAAAGAAGCGGTCATTGAGAGGCGCGAAAGTTCAGTGCTCCGCATTGAGCCTAATCTGCTCTAACGTCACGGTACGATGATCCCGTGAAAATTAGCAAACCATAGAATCCGGGGCTCCCCGCCCTTCAGCGGAGCCGCGTATTAAGGGTACCCCTCTTGTCGCGAGGGGTACACTTGTGTTGATCCTCGCAGCTGGAGTGACACACAAATACAGTATTAATTCACGATTCTCGTGTCACAATAATGGTACCCGACGTCCGCGTGTTACAACGTAACGTGGAGATGTAATAGCGCCCGAATGGAGATATAATACTTCGCTTCCCCCCTTGCCTGTCGTATACGGTATCCTTGTCCGAAAGAATTTTTAAAGATCATATACAATTAAAATAATTTCGCACTTTTAGATACAATATAAGTTTAGAAAAATTAATTCATGCGCTAAAAAGTAATTTTATATGCAGCTATTTAAATCTTTTTTTGTTGCGAGAAATTAGATACATATTGTTAAAAATATCAGTCATGATACATTCTCTTTTCTTTTTATAATCGTAAGGACAGATCGCAATTAAAAAACATGCTTCTACGTGATGAATGACAGACAAATTATTTTACTTATATCGCAATAAATAAAAATAATTTGATATTAAGTCACTGTAAAATAAAAAATTATTACTAAAAATACAGTGTACTAAATTTAAGAATATTATATAATATCAAGATACGATAAGAAAATGGTAAGAAAATTCAATGTGCCACAGGAGAACACGATCTTCAACGGAACCAAAAAGCATTGAATAATTTAAATATTAAACGCAAATTCCATAGAAGCTTAATTTGCATTATTTGCGAATTTATTCATGCGTTCTGTTGCATTTACGTTTGAAAATACAAAGTACAGAACTTGTTAAACGCACCCTTTCCTCCGTACGTCGGGACAGAGACACGAGAGAAAGAGAAAGGGAGACTCAAGTGATGCAGAGTTGAAATCAAAGAGAGCATCCATCCACCCTGCGGCTCGCCTCGCTCTCCCGGGGGATGAAACTGGCACACGCAAATACCTAGGCAGCTGCACCCTCAGAGTGGTTGTCCGTCACCCCCCCTCCCCCCGAAATCTCTAGAGCTCGCTAGCACCACTTTCCTCCGGAGTCCGTTCTCTCCTCTGCTTTATTATATTCCAATTATCTCTCTTCGGGGATTTAAGCCCGATCATAAATATCATCCCCGTGCGGTGCCACGATTGTGACGAGTGACACGATTTTGAAAGGGGAGAAGCGACAAGACTGCGATATTAAAAAAAATGATACGGATGATTGCTCTTTAGGGAAGCAGAAATTATTTTTTGAAAAATCTTTATGTTATATAGAGCAAATGTAAAAATACTAAAGTGCAAAAAAAATAGAACAATATAAAAATCACTTGCTAAAATAGTGACATAAAATTATGACGCGTTGAGAAATAATTACACAAGATTGTAAAACAAAACTTACAATAATTATAAACATTGAGAGTGTTTTTCAGAAACTTGAAACGAAAATCTTTCTACGTGATATGCTACGTAAAAATAAAGCTAATTTCAAAATACGTAAATTAAGTAAAAAATAAGAAGTTTATACATTACATACTTCTTTTTTTCGTTAATTTATTTCTGTCGTAAAAATGCGATAACTGTCAATTAATTACAATTTACGAATCAGTATCTTGAATAAAAATTTTCGTGATTATTTAGTACTCGTAATAATTAGAGACTTACTTAATCTCTGACTCTCGATATCTCCAGGATGAGAGGACGAAAAATTCGCGGTTCCCCTCGCGATTGATAAAATCGCGCTGGGCGCCAATCCAGCTGCGATAAAAATCTAAAATCTGCCGTTAAATCCGGCGTGAAAACTCGTAGTGTATAACCTTCTCAATAAAATCCTATTCGAATTTTATACAGGACAGTACCGCGACGCGCTTAATGCCGTAACAATGGACCCTCTACCGATCTACAAGGGGAGAACGTTGCGTGCGGATTTACGTAATAAAAATTATTGTTAAAATTTAACATTGTGAAAACTTTACTAAATGTAAAATAAATTTATTAGCTAAAAGTTCCTGTTTGAAAAAACTTGGTTCGATTTGCTAATTAATTAATTACATATATTACGAATCTAATATAATAAAGATGAGATTACACATATCTTACAATTAATACAGTATCTTTTTGCCGCTAGTACTCGCGTTTAAATTTGGTGTGTTCGTGCATTCTCTTCTCAGATTACTCTCGACCGTATTGAAAATAATTTCCACGTCAAGTTATTTCTTAAATAAATATGCGAAGGGGAGATTGTGAATCTCTATATTCTGTTTGGCTCTGTATAAATAAATGCGTTATAAGTGCAATCGAATCTTCGCTCTCTTACAGATTGATCCCATCTTCCGTTACACGATATAACGTATAATTTTGCTCGCAAACGGGAAAGACAGCGGACGATTGCGGCTTCCTCTCTTCGCTTTGCCAAGAGACTCGTCTTCGACGTTATCCACGGTACACGGTCTGTTCGCATGCTTTCGTATAATATTGATTCGCCGGAGACGAGGTCGCAGGTGAGACTTCCCACGATCGTTGGCCGCACAGCGAGAGCGAGAGAAGGATAAAGGGAGAGATAGGCCGCCGCGGAATTGTCCGCGCGGTCTTCGGATTGTCGTGTTTGTGCGCACGAGAAAGTCCAGGAAGAGCTTCTTGCTTCCCTCAGCGGAAAAATAATACCGTGAGCCGAAGTTGCCTTACACGACAGAACGAACAACCTCGCGATATATATCTTTCTCTTGACTGTCCATTTGAGTCGATCACATATCTCTATTCCGAGATTGTAGCTCGACATTTAATGCAAGTAATCCATATGTCGTAACGATAAAAAAATATTAGAAAAAACTCGCAAAAATTTGAAATAAACGAGACGGAATAACTACGTTTGACAAGTTCTTTCTTATATCTACATTGATAGAAAATAATTAATAAAACGCGCGAATTTTTTGTTTAGTATAATTCCAGTGCCAAGTATATAGGTTTTGTGCGTGACGCTATATTTTCTGCGTAAAAACCATAGTTAACTAGTTATTGGCATAACGCCATAACATATATGATGTAAATTCATATAGATATAAGTATATAATAATTGATACTAATAATTTTCAACAAATGAATGTAGATTACATATTAATTGTACTGTCAAAAGTGATTATCACACGAAAATTAAGAGAATTGGAAGGATTGCCGAAACAGGTCAGGATTGGCCTAGTGGTTTAGTTTTCTTTTATTACATATTCATATGCACAATTACATTACAAAATTGTATGCATAGCAATTTACATTCCTCGTTCTATACGGCCGATCGGAGAACCGAGCAACCAAAATTCCTAGTAAAGATGAACGAGAACGGCGTATTCCTGCCTCCCGAACTCTTCCTTTGTCTATTCGAGAAGCGACTTAAATACATATCTCCGACGATCAAATTCTATATTAAATATAAAGTACGAATGTAAAACGCTTAGAGCACATTTGGTGATAAATGTGGCAGTTTAATCCCAATAACGATAATTTCGACTAAACTCCGATTAATTTATTAATATCTTTGTAAATAAAATTAATTTGCTTTAGATTGTTAATTGTTGTTTGATAAAAAAAAAGGTATTAGAGATCCTTACGAGTAAATTAAGAATTTATGAAGAATTAGGCAAAAACTAAAAAAAGAATGGAAGAGACGGCCTCGGAAAGACGTTTCTTCCTAAATCTCGGGAACGTGATTCGGAAACACGATGAAAGCGCACTCGTACTCGGAAAGTGACAATTTATTTGGTAAAAGTGTCCATTACAGATTTAACGCATCGCTCTTAGATGAGGTCTTATCTACGAAAGTAAAATCTATGCGCACAATCGCTACGTCGATGTGACCGTCAATGATGAATTTCTTCATCTTCTCCGCGTCGTCGGAGAAGGCTTTCGATACGAAAACAGGAAATTACCTAATTAATTTAACGCTCGCGAACGCGAAAGCCCGATGCTCGGATGATTAGGAACACAATTGCTTTGCTTTGTATCTCTGGCAGTTGGAGATTGAACACAGAAGCGAAGAAACAACGATCGACCCTTCCTCTTTTTTCTTCCTTACACCACCTGGCAGAAATGACGCGACACGATAGGTAATTCAACGGGGAAATTAAAAAAGTAAGAAAAAAAAAAGAAATGATCAATGCTCGCAGTCTCAAAGAGAAAGAAAAGCCTCGCCGACTCACATATACACACATGCTGCACACACACGATGCGATGACGATGACGATGACGATCGATTCCTATCCGTGTCAATGACTAAATAGATGTGCAAATAGAGATTTTTCTTCTTCTTTCTGTCTCGCGATATCGCCGGGTTCTTTCCTACGTTCTACACGTACGCTTCGACATGAAAGCCTAAGGAATCGAGAAGTTTCAATGATTCGATTGAAAAAATTTGGCACTGATCCAGCTGTGAAAAAATATCATCATACTGCTCTGTGACTTCAATTTTTTTCTTTTTTTCCCCTCCCTTTTCTATTCTTTTTCGTCTCTTTCTCTCTGCTAGGATATCGTACAACTGTTATTCCCCGCCGTTTTATTTCCTATAATTGCCTCGCGCGCGCGTACCATATATATATATGTATATATACCTATACATATATATATATAATATATCCCTTAACAATACAGTCGACTATATTGATAATGCATAAAATACTCTTCAGTAGTACAAACGCGATATCGCGCCGTAAAATCACGCGTTTCTTCCTCTTTTTTTGTCTTTTTTCTTCTTTATTTTTAGAAATCCTAGCGAACTTTCGACAAGGTCAATCATGAAATTCACCAAATCAGTACGAGCAATACGCATTGGAGTTCGATACCTCTCATCGTACATTTTTGAGAGGCTGTGAATATCGAGTGTTCTTCAAGAACATCGTAACTGGATTGTCATTCAAAGTACTCGCAGAGACTTTCCTGAGATATTCGTCAAGCAAAATTTTCAAACTCACATGGAGATGCAATGATGAAAAGATGCCTCATAACAGCAATTAAAAGTCAGCTTTTATGTTTGAGTGTGCACGACTATTTCACAATCGTGTTTTATTAAACGATAAAAAATGACGCGATAATATAAACGTGGCTCTCAAGAATGCACGATAATTCGACAAATGTTGTTACGTATTCGCGCGCACAAGGAAAACTCGGCAGAATTTTGCGTAGTAAACTGATTCTCCCTGAGTGGTGATAAGCTATTCTGTAGGTTTGGTGTTTTCATGTCTATCCCTCCCGCACCTCTCTCGCTCGTCGAATATACAATATTACTTTTATCATACAATTTATAAATCTAGATCCCTAATTAGTTTTCTCTTTCGCTTAAAAATTTTCCGTCACTATTCACTAATCGGACTTACAAATTTAGTCGACAATACAATCGATTCCCTTATTTATCTTATTGTCCCTCGACCACCCCAGTCGTGTTCCAGTCGATGCGAGCTAATACTTTTACGTAAAACGCAATTACATCTAGTGTCTTGTAAACAAAAATGCAAGGGGGAAAATTGATGTATATCGATTTTGAGAACACATCGTCGGATTACGACAAAGAACACAATGCGGTAAAATGTTATCAGTCGATCCCTAGCTCTTCGTAAATCTCTGAACTCTTTTGTGCCGCGTCGACAAGCAGTATATCGTAATCACTGGAAGGTGGTCTTGGGAAAATTTTAGTTTTGTACGACAAACTCGAACATACGTACGTATAATAATATTTATATAATTTCGTTTAACTAGTTTTGCGAGGCTGAGAAATCTCGTATTATGCTCGTAACCACGGTGCAAAAATAAAGCGACAGCATGGGACGTATCATCCTGCGAGTGTACCCCCTTATTTCATTTTCTTTTCTGCTTTTTTTGACGTCTGCGAATAGTATGCCCAGCCCCCCCCCCCCCCCCCACTCGTCTTCCGCAATTTCAACGACACGAAGAGACGTTATCCGTGAATTATGCATTCGAGCCGCAGCGGACACTTGTCGATCCTCTTTTCTCCCCCCTCCCTCTACAACTGTCGTTTTACATTGCATATGTCATTCTGTGATTTGTTTGGAGTATCACATGCAAATTTCTTCGCCGACTTATAAACGAGCTAAATTATATTACATATACCGTAGCCTTTGAGCGAAATACCTTATGTTTTCTTATCAAGTCTTATATCCTAAAAATGTTCTACCGTACCGTCTAGCACTTTTGATTTTGCGATTTGCACACGGCGTCGCACGCTCTCGGAAATCATAGACACATGATGGTGCGAATAGAAAATCGAAGGCTATTTTCACGGAGACGCACAGCAAAACGAATTTCAATTCTGACATATACGAATATTACATCATTCTTAAGCAACGTAGCTTCGGCTTTATACGATCGTGCGTCCCATATCTTACACGATTATTCGCGTGTTTCGCGATTTCAATACATACACATATACATATACAAAATGTATCGCACAAGTATTCACAAGTTTTTTAAATATTTGCATTATCAAGATCTGTGCCGTGGTTCGCGGTCTTGTTTGTAATTTTTTATTACGCCCTTGATTAATATTACAGTCATAATTTCGAGGCTGTAAGATTGCCGCAAAATCTGATTACTAAGAAAATAAAATTATCAAAACAAAATTCCCAATTGCTGTAAATACACAATGTCATAATTGCTCTCGTGGTTGATGCTGTTCCACATGTAAATTGACAGAATTGATTTATTAACGAGTTAAGTAAATTGAATTAAATGATGAAGAGTGGATTTAATTTATTTATAAAAATTAATAAATAAAATTTATATAAATAAATTATTTAATTTAGTAAATCAATTTTCCACTAAGATCACAAACTTCAATATACAAATTATATTATGTGCAATTATAATTTTTTTTTCTGCAAGTATTTAAATATTATTTATATTATCGACCACAGAGTCATTGTCACCAAATTAACATGCAATTAAGTAATTGATATAATAACGGTCGAATTATATGTCTTTAATGTTGTAGATCAAATGATGGCACAATGTCTCCTTCTATTTGCATTCCTCGAAAATTTATGCATAATGACGACACAGTATTGATAAAAACTACAGGCTGAAAAAGGGAAGTTGAATGGAGAGAGGAAATTGAATGACGGCAAATGAAGTTGAACGGAACGATCATGCATTCGTTAGAAAATGTCGAATTGGGATCAACCTACTTCACAGCTCTTGTTGGCGAAAGGCAGTGCTCGTCTTGTACATATTTGGGTAATTTCCCCCTTTTTTACGTGTATGTATAAGATTAGAATATACATTAAATTAGCTTTGAAATAGGTTGCACTCGATATCATCATTGTCGTATAGTACACACGCTGCGGTGCATAACGGTGGTACGGTAAAGAAATAGGAAAGCTGCATAAGTGAAGCCCGTCGATTTTAAAATTACGATTCTTCGACAGAACATTAGTATATAACAAGAATCGTTGACATGCATGACAAATTTACCAAAATTATTGCAACCAGTAATTTAATTTTCTCTTTTCTTGATCCCCGGTTATTTTTTTCTCTTTCCTTTAATTTTTTACAAAATTTCGGGTATCCTTTTGTCGCACCACCAGAAATACGCGCAGTTACCGTCGTTAGAATGTACACCTACCGTATTATTGCTATTTAACGCGATAGATTAACTTACAGTCTAAGATTTGTACATCTGTGGATTTGCTGTTCAATGATGATGCCTACAAAGAGAGATAAAAAGCATGTCTCAAACGTGCCTAATTTTTATAATTAAAGAAAAAAGTGAAATAAAATTGTTATGTTGTTATAATGTCCTAGCATATTTTAAAATCCTAATAAATTATCAAAAATTTAATAATTTTATTTAATTCGCAAAATATCTTTGCTAAAGAAATCTGCGAGACAAATCTTCCTAACTGCTTCTTCGTCTAAAAAATTGCAAGTTTTTTATTACATTATTATACATCTCCTATTTGAGTCTCTAGAATATTGTTACAGTTGCAATGTACATATAGCTCGTACGTATAAAAGTCCAACAAGATAAAAATAGGAAGATAGTAAAAAAACCTATAGCGAATACTTGATTTGATGCATACATACGAACACAGCGTTTCAATGAGATCCACGGTAAAATCGCTATCAGTATACGTGCAAAATATTTAGATTTGTACAGTGTATATGTATATATATGTATATATATGATTGATATATATATATGTAACAACTTTAAAATACTTTGTGAAAAGATATACAAATCGAGATATATGTCTGTACATTGTAAGCTGCAATCGACATCACTAAAGTGACATTTCTTATCAAGTAGGAAAACGGTTGCCGATAAACGTGGCGTAGAAAAATGTATATCTCGCGAAGAAGCGCAGTTAGGTCTCTCTTGCGGTGAGATTGGGTCCTTTGATGTTGAATAATATACGTAGCAACGAATCTCGTTTTAATAATTAAGACTCACGGCTACGTCGAGTTTGTATCTACCTTCAGCTGGGCTTGCCCGGTGGCCCGTGGCTAGTCGGCGAGGGTCCATGCGAGTGAAGATTGTGAACTCCGCCTACTTGGTTACTGGTGAGACTGGACATGGTGGGCTGATACATCGACGGCATATAACTGCTCGATGGTTGCGACGCTGACCTGACAATCAATGTGTTACGCATAAAATTATGCCCGTAATAACGAGATAAACAGAATAAAAATGAGATGAAAATACTATTCACTCACCTCGGCACTCCACGCAATGGATCTGGCGTGACAGATGAATTTCGTACCACGCCGGAAGTGTTTGCCGGCGCCGGTGATACTATGTTGCTTGGTTGACCCTGCAGGTATCCAGCTCCAGCCGGACTGTGCCTATATTTAATTGTGAAAATAAAGGATCAGTTTAAATCGACGTTTAACGGTATTCTACGCGAAGAACAAATACGTCACCTCATCGTTGGGCTTGGTTGAGGCGCAACCAATGATCCTCGGTGATACTGAGCGAGAGAAGCAGCCGCAGGCGGGGAAGGATCTGGCGGCAAACCGTTCTCCAATGTCGTCGGATGATTACTAGTACTGGAGTGAGGTATGTACGTGTTGTTCACTCGCGGTTCGCGGCTCACTCTAGGTACCGATGCCGGAGCGCCGGGTGGCACTTCCGAGTGTGAAACATTGGGATGAGACGGATTTACCGTTGGATGTATATTATTCACTGAAAATAATGAAAATATACATTATGCGCGTTGTCTTCTCATGAACGAGATACAAAAAGTATCGTCAAGTAGTTGATCTAACTAACCTGGATGTGAACTAGGTTGAGTTGTCAACGGAATAGCGAGTCTAGCATTCACAGCCAATAAATGGTCTCTCCTTTGCAGGAGATTATTTACATGTTCCTCTAGCCTAAGGTTCTCAGCTCTCAACTGATGTAGGCAGGAAAGCAGGGATGCAACTGCAACAGATTTCAATAATGTTGCTTTCTGTCATATTCTGAATACGTTTACTTTTTATTTGAGGCCAAAGCAATATTGTACCGTTAAAAATAACAAATTTTAATTAAAACAAGTTTTTTTTATAAGACAAAAGTATAACGTAAAGTGTGGCATGCAGCTTTTTTCGACGACACTATTGCGAAAAATAAAAAACAAAGCATGGTCCTCTCACTTTGTCAAACCCATGCAACTTTAAACATGTTTTTTCCTTTGCCATACACTTACTGTCAAAATGTTGGGCTTGCTCCATTAGAAATTGACTTCCCTGCTCCCACTGTCTCTCCAGGAGCTGATCTAACGTCTGTGGGATTGCTCCACTACCTAAAACTCCACTGGTATTGGCTGTACTCGTAATGCCGCCGCTCGTAGAGAAAACCGAGGCAAATGAAGTGGGTGGGATGCTTTGTTGGCCACATCGTATCTGCTTAAAAAAAGAATAAAACATTTAAAAAAATTTATCTTAAACAATTTAATTGATAAAAAGAATGAATTACACCATAAACCAACAAGATTTATGTTTCTTCGAATTCAATATGGCAATTTGTCTTTTTACGTACAGATGCTAGTACTCGATTGTGCAGCTGCGGTCCAATCATGTTTGTATTGGAGTTACTCGCCTCTGTAAATATAGAATGGGCCTCGAGCTCCTGCGAAAGTGTGTCCGACATCTTTTGCGCCATCGTTGAACTAGGATTCAATTGATTCCCCAACATGTGCGGTGCGCTGACTCCATTTTGAAATCTGAGAAAAAAAAAGAAGAAACATTCACATTCCTGCATTTATCCACGACAAGACGTTTCTTTATTTGCAAATCTTACAGTTTTATGTTGTTCTCCTCCTTTATCATGGCGTTAGCAAGAACGGTCGGTGTAGTCGATGCAGATGGGATAGGGGTAGATACGGCTGTTTTCCTCTTTCGTTTGCCCGTGTTACTACTCATACTCTCTGATCCAGGACTGCTAGGCGGTGATTCCTTGACAGTCGGCCCCATAATGTTCGCAGAGCAGCCTGCGCCACTGATGCTACTGAAGTGCCCGACAGTAGCCAATGCAGGGCCCTGAATAATTGACGATACCGGGGCCACGGTGGCGGCGGGTGGAGGAGTCTGATGATTGTTTCTCCCACCCCTCTTGGACGTCGACACGACTGCGGTGCTGGATACAGAGGTTACGATTGACGGGTTTATCGTTTGTGACTGCGGCAGTGGTGGTTGGCTGTTGGACGAACCGCGCTTGGGTTTGCGAGGCTTCTCTTGCTTGTCTGACGATTGGGAACTGAAAGTTAGCGAACGTATCAAACGGTTAGCATGGCGAATCACATCAAACTTGTGACACACATCTTCCATCAAAATACAAAACGTCCATTATTTTATGTAACAACTGGCTAACAGCGTGGTAATAAAAAAAAAACCCGTTATTTTAACACACGGCCAGAAATTATCCCGATGGAAAATACAATTCCCAAACAGTTTAATAAGACAAAAACGAGAAGATCAACGCACGCTGAGGCGGGTCGTCACGACGGAGTGCCATTTACGATGTCACGTTACACCTTTCCGTCGCTCGTTGCCCGTGAGGCGCCTTGCCGAGGAAAAAACAAACATAACCTCAATGCCTCCTGTTTGCCAAGACCCGCGCCTCGAGTACGTGAACCGAGTCACGGGGCCACTCAACACCGGTGACGTTTCCTCTTTCTCTCTCTCTCTCTCTCTCACCCCTCGTCTTACCGAGGTTACAGCGTTATAATGTTAATATCACACACAAACACGTCGCGATGTATTGCAACAATTCCGCGATGCAATTATTATGCAGCGCGCGCGCGCGCACGCGAGCTCACTCGTCGAATGACCCCGAGTGAACTACCGTGCTCAATACATACACAGAACACTGATGTAAACACGCTCCATCTTCCGTCGCACTCGCGACTCGAGGCTGCTTCCGCCCGCGGCACGAACGCGCGGCACCCGGACCCGCGTCCCGATTCCCGACTCCCCCGATGACTGTCCCTCGCTCGACCGATGGGCCGCCCGAATACTCGTTCGACTCCGTAGACGAATGGCCGATTCCGGCGTGGGAAGAGGTTAGAACCTCGACCACCTTGTTTACTAATCGCGCCCGCCATTTTGAACGCACGCGGCGCGTGACACTCCTGAAGCCGCGTGTCGTTTCTCCGACTGTCCCGGAGCATCCCTCACGCCTAAAACTCGAGGCACTTCGTGGCGCGTCGTCAAATTTTTATGCACAGTCACTGCACAGATCTTCACTATAAATTCAACGTTCACAATTTCGATTGCAGTATTAACGGCAGCGATAAACAGAACGTGAGATATACGCATTCCTTTCATTTCCCTGATATTCCCACTGCAACTTAACTAAACTCCAAATATAATTTCTCCGTAGCGATTTCTCCCTCTGCGGCAGATTTTACACAGTAAAAAAATATATGTTACGACACAATTACGTGATGTAATTGTACTTACAGCAAACACATTGATTTAATCTGTATTTTTATACGCTTCCCTCCTTTTTTCAATGCATTTTTTTTTAAAGAATTTCTAATTGCAAACAAGCTCCCTCAATGAATTCCAATTTTGTATCTACGGCGAGAGAACTTACCGAGATCGTTTTATCGGTGCATCCTCCGCGGCGAGCCTCTCAGCGTTCGATATTGCACTCAATCGCAGCTCGGTATTGGCAGCCGTAGTGATTATGCTCTGCTGCAGCTGTTGATACATCGTCAGCGAGGTTGTCACCACGCTCTGAACCGCACTGGCGAGCGAGGTGGCAATCAACGGCACGGATACGACGATGCTGTTTGACGTAGTTGTCGGTGACTGGGTGACGGCCGAGGACTGGGACTGCGTCACCGTCATTATCACAGGCGTGGTGGTGGCCTCCGTGGCGACCGGCGTGCTCGACGACGATTGAATCGGGCTCTCGGCTTTCATCTGCAATCGATGACAAACAGAATGCGTTATCGCCATCGTCTCATATCCCACAGCTAGTACGATATTCCTACAGATAAATGACTAATTCATTGTAGATGTGCTTGAAGAAATACCGAGATGAAATAAACAGCGCGATAACTGTCTTCAATTATACCTTTGATAAATCATTGAAAAGTAATGTGACGGTAATAGTTCTTTCACGTGTCATTACTGAAATTAGTTGCTTCGGTTAAGTCAGATAGATTTGCACAGAGAATTTTTCTATTGAGACTTGCTCGTTGTACTTATCAAATATTTTGTTAATTCATGACATAATTGATATAAATATATTCTTTTGGTTAAATATTATTGGCGGAACAAACACTTACTTTTTGATAATTGATATAATTTGTCCAGAGATACAATTTCTGAGCGGCAAGATCAACCGCTCGCTGTCAAATAAAGGATTTCCTGTTTATTTTATTTTTATCACAGGCAAAGAGTGATTCTGATGTGACATATCCAACAGATCAAAGAAAAAGTGGTCAAATATTCATTTATATTGATGCGTACAATTCTGTAGACAATGTTTTAAATGTTTGATTTTTCATGACATTTGCTTTAAAACTTTATAAATTTATTCTTAATGCTTGTAATATTAGCATAAAATTTTAAAATTTTGATTATAATATAAAGATAAACGATACTTAAGATAAATGTAAAAATAATCGCTTTTCTGGCTTATCAAAGATCACTAGGCAAATTTTGTTAAACCTGTTGTCGCGAGATTTTGATAACAAACCAGTCAAAAGTAAACATAAGCAAATACTTATATAATGTTATATACGAATATCGCAAATCTCTCAAATTAATATTAGCTATTATTATATAATGTTACAATGTCTCCATAAGTTACAGTTAGACAATGCAAAATCCACGTATGGTATATGGTATTATTTAATAATCGTTATTTTTTATTGAATCAAAATAATTAAATATCGTAATCAGTTGTTCGCATTAGTTATACCGGCAATTTATTACAAACTATATAATCTTTATTATTGCAATAGACTAGAAAAGATCTTAATGTTTAAGTTCAAGAGGAGCAAGTGCTAAACCAATTCAATGTAATAACATATGTAAGACTTTTACCTTTTTCGATTTTTCCGGTTCCGTCGTTACGCTTAAGCTAGTAGCTTCGGTGATTGTCGGCTGCACATTGTTGCTCGGGACGGTCTGCTGCGCCATAGAGCTGACCGTCATCACGACCGATCCGCTAGCTTCGGAGCTGGCCGATTGATTCGAGTTTTCATTCCCTATCACGGTCGGCGTACGCGCTCCGGTTTTTCTCTTCTTACTGGTATGACTCGCCTTGTTAGAAGTCGACGAGTTGGATTTTCCCTGGCCCCCAATGTTCTTGTGCGCCACGTTTGAATTACCGGCGTTCGTCTTCATTGCAGGGGCGGTTGCCGTCGTGGCGACGGTGGTGACAGTGCCGCTGCCATCGTGTCCGAACACGCTCTCCGACTGTGTGACAATAGTCTCGACAAAGTTAGAAGTCGTGAACTTGCTGGAACTTGTAGACGTGTCTTTTGGTGTATTACGACCGCTACCACCGCTCTTGTCGTCCGCGACGCCGTTTATCTCTAAACTGGGACTAGCATTGGATTTACTTTTAGAATTCGCGCTTGACTTGGAACTCGAGCTTTTCCGCTTGCCGCTCGACGATTTTATCGGTGTCTCCGCCTCTTTCTCCGGCGACGAGTCCGACGAACCGTTGTCGGCGGGTATCGGTTTGTATGGCGGTATCGTCTTCACGTTGCCGCCCTTTTTCTGTAAATTAATTAACGTTATCCAAGAAATTTTTACAACATTAATTAATACTTGATATCCGTTGATTAATACATATTCAATAGTGAATTACTCACCAACTTCGAATAGTGATGCTGGCAATAACCGCAATATTTGACATTATCGAGATAGTTGCCAGCTTCCTCGCAGAGTAAGCCCAGAGCCTGTGCACAGGTAACATGAAATTGCTGCCTGCAACCTGCTTTGTTACATTGCATGCAGGCTCCCACGTTTGCTCTGCTACCTCTGCCTTGTTCCTCGCAAATGTAACATGTCTAAAATTATCAAATTTCTATGATACGAGGTATAATAAAGTATATGTGATATTAAACACAGCGAATAACTTGTTTCGTGGCCACATCTGTGACATCGATGAAAGATTTACCTTGCTAAATCTTTCTGAAGGAATGAGCTCCAATATAATTGGTTCCATTGTAGTCACGTTACCGAATCGAACTTCCGGAATGTAGAGAGCGCACACGACGTGCGCCCATCCAGCCTGGTTCGTTCTCTTAAGAGCTCCATCCCGACTCGGACATAACTCACAGCGCTATTTAAATTACATCCCAAACAATTATATATATCTCAATAAAAAAAATATTCATATTCTATCGTAATAAACAAAGAAATAGATTGGATATTTAGTCCATTATAAAGATAGAAATACAGTACAATCTCGGCACTATAATAAAAATCAGATTATATCAGATTAATGGATTTGCCGGGCTGCTAGAATGTAAGGAATATATAAGTGTAAATAAAACAATTAGAAATTGAAAAATATTCTAAACTTACAGCAAAAATAAAACAAGAAAAGCAGCAACGTATTTTCACAGAAACATAAAGAATGCTTCATCAGCGAAGATCTAATGGCCACGTATAAATAAATAACCAATACGTATAAGTGTTAAACTCGCCTCTCGCCCAAGGGGCCGCGGAAGCTCGCGATAGTGCCAGATTAACGAGATTTTACTGTACTGAGAAAAGCATTCTCAAGCGCGAAGAAACAATTCTCCCTACCACTCGAGCGCTGCGTTCTTGAGACTCGCACTTCCTACAATACCAGGGTCCCGTTGGTACAGTGACGATGCCATAGCATGCTGCGAAACAATAACGCTTGTTACTCCTCAATCGACAGAGGAAAATGTAATAATTTTGCAAGGGGTGTTGACCGTGAACAAATACCTTGGTGCACAGCAACAGTGCAGCCCTGTCCATCGCAATACACCAACGGATTCTCTGTCCAGCCCCTCTCGTCAGAACACACGCAGCACCCTCCGAGCATCTCCTTCATGCTGTGCCCCAAGCAATTCGGAAGACGAGACTAGCATGAGGAGCTAGGCGACGGACCGCGGGCATTGGCTGCGTAGGGCGAAGAGGCTCGTGTCGCAAGATCGCATCCTGGGGTCTCCGCGCGGCGGCAAGAGGTTGAAGAGGCTGCTCCCGAGTCGGCGGCCTCTCCTCTCTTTCTCTCTCGGACGGCTCTCGGTGGGGTCCCGCCACCCGCCACCCGCCCACTACCGCGTGTCTTCGGCACCCCCGGCCCCCGGCGCGACTCGCGCTCGCGGACTATACGCGCGGAGCGCGCGGGACGCGCGCGTCGTCGCGCGTCGCGTCGACGAAGAGGCGAGGAACGGAGGAAGGATACTCTCGCGACTCGCGAGCGCGCGAGGATCAACGCGGAGCACGCTGAACGCGAGCGGGCGAACAAGCGTGCGTGTGGGCGCACACACGCGCGCGCGCGTTTTCGCACAGTGGAGTCACGCGTCACGCGGGGAACGGATGCCGTCGGCCGAGCGGACGCCGCGCCGCGGATTGCCGACCGCCAACCGGGCGTACGTCGCGCGAACGCACGTGCGAATGTAAGCGGCCCCCCCACGATCGGAACGTGTTCGGACGTCTCGTGTAACTCGTGTTATTTACGACGGCGCTCTATTTGTTTCCTTGGTCGGCCATCTTACTTTTGCTTGTCGCGCGCGAGCCGCGCACGCGCACACCCGCCGCGCTCCTCCGCAAGGCACGTCCGTATCTCGCGATATATTCTCTTACCAAATTCTTTACAAGCGAATCTCGATTCTCGCGTTGTTTCCGACGCGACGCGTTCGATTGGACGCGGAATGATTCTGTTTTTTCTAAACGAAACGAACATACCGTTCATCTCCCTCTTTTGTGATATGCCGCCAAATTTTACGATTTATAATCCGCGTCAAATTTCAAAATAGAATCTAAATGATCTAATAGCATTTTCGATTTGCGATTCAAACCGACTCGGGTCGCATCATGTATACAGGACTCTAGCATCATTGACGTGAAATACATACATTTCTATGGCTGCATTCGGAGAGCGTGCTATTAGCGCTATTGTATCATTCTATCTTTATCGCTCATTAAATGTAAAACAAGGATAGAATAAGCAAATAGCGCTAATAGCGCGCTCCCCGAATGCAGCCTATGTATGTATGTATTCCACGTCCATTGATGCGACCCGAGTCGGGTCGAGTAAATCGAAAACGCCATAAATTAGAATTCTATCATATAGTTTGATATTGGATACTTTTTTAGCAAAAGACGCAGAATACAGTGTAACAATAGGCCTGTTTGTTTTAGCTGAACTTGTTGCACAGTTAAATGACTCCTGTCGACCCTTTAATCATAATTCGCTTTTTTTCTCGAACGTGAGAAGAATAGCGGCAATAGCCAATCGCGCCCGTCACCGTGATTCATGCTGTTTTCGGAACGCGCTCGTTTCAGTGATTGGCATTCCTGCTTCCTCGTTTCGCGGGCCGCGGGAATAATTGCTACGCGAGTACGCGCCGTGTGTGTTAAATAATTAGCGAGGGTATAATAAGGTGTTTGTCGGAAGGAATGAATAACGTACGTGTCGCGCGAATCGCTCACTCGAGACGTCGAGGCAAAGGTATGTACGGCAATTGTCATTGATTTGCAGTTTCGCTGTGATATTCGCGGGTGATAATAGTCGCTCGTCCCGCCATGTCTGAACTCGCGAATCGCGAATGTGGCGTTCATTTATCTCGTGTCGTACTTTGAACAACGCTGCGCCGGAATTGTTGTGTCGGTGTGAATTATCTCCGAGTCTCTTCGTAGGGAAAAAGAGGGCTGAGTGACAGTGTCGTATCGAGTGACTCGATGAGTAACGGAACACCGTGATACATCGCGCCCGTTCGTGAATGCTTCATAATCTCCGTATATCTCGCGTCGCGTAAGTTCGGCAGCCGATTCGTCGCGTTTGCTTCGGGAGTGCCGTTCAAGTAATCGGACTAAAGGACTTTTCTAAACGGGAGTGTCGTACAGTATATCGCGCGAAAAAGACTTTTACTGATGATTATTCCGCGCGCGATTATAGTTTATTATCCGCGAGTGTTTCTCGCGAGTGTCCTGTGCGGTGAGAGAAGGAGGCCTGACGTCCTGAGATGAGGAGGAGGAGGTCTGAGAGAGACATCGGGCACCGGCGGAGCAACCTTGGGGTAAGTATCATATCTTAGCTATATAAAATTAATACGTTGTTTCTATTTATTCGATGTGTTTAATTTAAATTTCAATAAGTTAAAAGTAATTAAAAAAAGAAAGACAAGTTATCTAAAATTTTATGTTTGTAAGGTTCTTTTTCGATAAACAGATAATTGTATTGCTAAATATTTTATTGAGACGATTTAAAGACGCGTAAGAATTAACTTTTCAAATGTTAATAATTTTAAGCGTTTTTTAAATTTAAATCTTATTTTTGTATGTTACAGTATCACCGTAGCTACGTGGCTGCATAACTCCGCCCGTTGCGCATCGAATCGGTGAGTCAATGAGAAATTTTTTTATTGAGGTAACGAATCTACGAATAATTAAGTGTAGAGCAAAAACATATCTCGGTACATGTCGAATTACAATAATTTATAATATAAAAATATTAAAACATTTCGTAGATTCATTGCCTTAAAATGGATGGGCTACAACTGATTATGGTAAATATTTAATCTTAGTATCATTTGCTTATTTTGTTGTATTTATTGATTGTTATTGATTTATTGTGCCAGTGTGCTTGAGGAAATACTCGGACACTTCGCACGCACTGAGCTCGCGAAGAGCTCATCAAATTATGTTAACAAAACTGCCGTGTTCTATATAAATTACTTTTAAATAAAATTTTTTAATATTTACATAATAAATTAAATTTTTGAAATTTTATTATATTGATCAATTCTACTTAAAACTAAAGTTAGTAAATATTTTATTACTTAATCTCGCATTTATTTATAAATATTTTAGATACACACAAGAGAAAAATAATACTCTAATAATTAAAGTAATGATTTTTTAAATACAAAAATTTTTAGATTTCTTTAAAGAATTATTTTTGTAACATTTTTTTTTAAATAAAAGATATAAGATTAAGTAAAATATTGTGTTAGATGTTATAAGAAAAAAATATTTGTAGATAGGAAAAAATTATAAGTTGGTAGGATATGTTTTATTTATATCCGTTTATTCCTCCAAGATCAAATATTATATAAATCGATGCAAGGAAGGTATATATAGATATATTTAGAATTTATTTGATAGAAAACATGATAATTGTTATTTATTACTAAAATTTATTTTAACAAAGCATCGATTATACCCTAACTTTTTGTAGCCTATCCATCTATTTTTTATTGAAAAATTGGCTTTATGCTAGATAAAGTCAAGTAACATGACGTGAGATTCTAAATATTCTGTCGAGAAACGTTAAAAATTTTTAAATTATTTTAGAATTGATGATACAGTACAATTATTCAGTTTTGCAATAATATATGTGACTACATTATATATTATTAATATATAATATATAATGTATCAAAATAATTTTGATAGAAAGTGAAAGATATAACGAGATACATTTATATCGATAATCGTAAAATAAAGATTTGCATATATTATTTAATTATTTAATTCAATTATAACAATGCAGTTATTGATTAATATAATATTCAATTATAATATCAATTGTGCAGGAAGTTTCTCTTTTTCGGATCTCACGTCATTTTATTCTGTATATCTTATTTGATATATTTTCGAGAGATGTGTACCGCATGAACAACATGCATAATAACGCATCTTTGTGTCCCCCATCAACGGTTCTATTATCATAACATATGTAATAATTATTTTATATTTTACGAGTGAAAGTCATTTAACTCTTAAGTCCAAGCATGATTTTAAACAAAAATTCGATGCGCTTTATCTCTCCAAGACCTATAACCCATGACTGATATAGATAATTTGTCAAGTAAATGATAAGAGTGACTATAGGCCATCTGACTGAAATTCCTTGCTGAAGCTAAAACTAAACATCTCGCTATCTCATTCGAACGACTTCAAATAACTGTTTTTGCCTAATTTATGACTTTCAAAAGAAATGCTTTCCGCTAACGGCTCTATCAATGTCGAAATCACACATTTCCGGGCTCTCGCACGATGTTTTTTTCATCGCACAGTTTTCATCGACGGTCAAAAGTTCAAAATTAGCCATATAATATATGTTCTAATTGTAAGTGTATTTCCGCATAATTATTATTGTTAACATACAACTATAAATGCGTCATAAATTATTTTCTTGCATAATCAGTTACTCGCATATACGCGTCACGAACGTGCCAGTGCAGAACATAAAACATTTTGATTAAGTTCGAGGAGGGGACTCATGCGTGTCTAATCGAGAGTCACCCATATCTCATTGTGAGAGAATGTATCTAACAATAAGTGAAGTGAATGAATTCTATCGAGCGACAGAGAGAATGATGCCGCGCCGCGTTTCTTATTGCAATGCAGATTACATGTATATCCATCAAACAGAGGTCAATGTCTTCGGACAAAATAATCGGAGCCGCGATAGAAGGGGCTGCATAAACACGCGAACGGATTAAAAGGCCGCGGTGGCGAATGCGACGAGAGAAAGTGCAGCCTCTCGAAGAGCGAATGTCATTACGTCGCGTTAGAGTGTGTGCATTGCGCATTGTCAACATATACCTACAATACAATATTATCAGGATCGTGCTTATCTATAGGCACGTTGGATGCCCGTTTATACGCGTGAGACACTCGTAATCGAAGAAATCAGTCTTTCTACAGTAAGTTGCATTTATTGCTGCCATATTATTATGTTTATTATTATCTAATGATACATACTTTGTTAAATACTTTGTGCTTGTTCCTCGGTTCCCCCGTATCTCTGAATTCCAAACATTGTTGCGCCTGAGGCTAAATATAGTCTCTCTCTCTTGAGGCCATTCAAGAGTCGTTAACTTTCATTATGGTATCAACGCGAGCGCGGTGATCGGTAAATTACTCAGTATACGACAAACGGTCACTGCGTTAAGACCTCCGTGTCGAAATAAAATAATATTCTTGACCGTGCTAAGATCTCCCTGGCAAAATGAGGTAATTCTTGACTGTTAAGTTGACGATTAGTGTGTTAAAGCATCGGAATTTAATTCAATTTAACTAAAGTTCAATAAATATAACAATTAGATCAACGGCAGATCGGAGCAGGCACCGGCAATTGTATTTCTGAAGAAGTTTCCAATTACAATCGCTATTCTATCTATAATAATTTTTCTTAATATTTTTTACGTAATACTTTTAACATTATAGTTTCTGCATCAGCATTATGTAAAAATGTTATTGAAATATGTGGATTTTATAAATTTCCTGGTGGAAAGTATTTACGTAATTACTAGTGTAAAACATTTATCTAGGAACTTGATACTCTTTGACTTGACGAACATGCACTATCGCTCGCTGCATCAAGATCGCGTTATTTCATCACACTCGTCAAAAATTCTCCTGAAAAATCATGATACTTTTCGTTACCTCTATATAAAATAAGTATGTATTTTTTTATGAGTAGCTCAAAATGCATGTATGTCATCGAGGCCAATCTCACTCGACAGTGTCACTAAAGTGTTTTTGGTTTTGCTCTCTTCGAAATAATCACCAACGGAAACGCGCTTATATTTTAGCAACACGCGTAAAAGGATGTCCCACTATCGGCCTTGGGGCTCGACGGAGAATGGTCAGATAGAATTCGAGTCCTTAACGGATGAGACCTTGGAGGGTGCTCTCGATGTGATAAAAAAGAGCTTTTTTCTCTACGAATCCGTATCCATAGGCGTGGAATTGAATTCTGAGCCGGGAGCATCCGAAGAACTCAAGGAGCTCTGTTTATACGCGGCTAAGGACGGTGTGAGTGTCGTGGCTATCGACATTACTACTAACGAAGTTGTCGGTGTTGCGTTCAACAAAATTCAAGTGAGTGAAAGCAACTTTTCAGTATAATGTTCTGTACTGCGAAAAGCGTTTTTTCGAATTATTGAAAATAGATTAGTTTCTATACTTTTGTATAATCTATAATCAAACCTTTGCCACACACGGTTAGTTAGCATTGATGTTCCTCGGTTGTTATACCTCAAGTGTTTTTGACAGTTATTCTGATGACTAAGCTAATTTTTCAGGTGTCCGCCAACAGCTCTGAGAAAAGTTTCTTCGAGCGCTTCAGTGACAACTGTCGGTACAAATCGTCGAAGGCTCTGGTGGACTTCATGATAAATGTAGATTCGCGAGTAAATCTCTTCAAGCATTATTACGTCGATTGCATCCTCGAGATTATGTTTATAGCGACTTTACCCACCTACGGGAAACGACGTATAGGCGAGATGCTAATCACCTCGTCGTTGGAACTCGGTGAGGAGTTGAGACGCGATAAAAACGTGAGAATACCTATCACGATACACGGCAGTGACGAGGTGACGAACGCCGACGCGGTGCCGGCCTTAGTCTCCGCAATCATGACGTCCAATTACTCGTATCGAATCGCGATGAAACTGCACTTCGACGTGCTGTTGGAAGTCTCGTACGACGAGTTCGAGTTCAATGGAAAGAAGTACAGTGAGAGAGTAGGCCAGGAACATCGACAGGCAGTTTTGGTAGCCAAGAGACTCTCCCCAATTTTGCCAAAAAAACAATGATCGTGCGAGTAGTTTTATGGACGGAGAACTTTCTCACATTGCGATGCTCAATCGAATTCAGGAATAACATAAATTAGAAATAATAACAGATATTATTATATAGAAATTATAATTATAGATATTATTATTCCTAAATATTATAAAGGTTTGAAATATTATCTGGTGTTTATTTATGTACGATAGCGTTCTTAATTTTTCTTATCAACTTAATTGTTTACAATAATATTGTCTTTACTTTATAAATTGGAATGATCGAAAAATTTAAAGATATTTGAAAATTTATGAGAGCATAAGAAGATTAAGATAGTCTATCTAATAGTCTATCGTACATATTATATTAATTATTATATTGTTCTATTTTGTAGGCAATAATTGCGCGTTCAATTTGATAAAGAACTCGAGAAAGATAGAAAAGATGGAATTTTATATGTATGTTAGGAATAATTGTATTGAATGAAGAAAATAATATTATATGCAATCAAAATATGTCGTTTTCTAGCGATGCATGCATATAAATGGATCACAGCGGAAGAATAAATTGATGCCGCGTTCTTGGAATAATATATATAACATCCGAATAGAATTAAGATAATGCTGGACAGATATATTTTATGACACAAACTCTTACGTAGTCAAAATGTGAGGAAGAATATATTGGACTCGCAGATTTCATTCGCGTGCGATAGTATATACATATATAATAACACTCAATTGAATAGAATTGGTCATATCCTATAATATTATGTATATAATGTATTATATAAAATATATTATCGTATGTATTTACTACAATTACATAATATCATTTTTATGAAGTTGCACAATATTATTTGCAAGTTGCAAGAGGCAAAAAATACAACAACATGTAACAAATGCTATTGATTTAGCATTTTAACATTATTTAATGAATAATTTGATTCGGATATTTGATGAGTGAATAAAAATTTAGAATGGTTCTCTCGCAATAATTCTGCGATTCTTCTGTTTTCTTTGCAACCTTTTTTGATTAAACAATTGCTACCCGGCAAATCAAGATCCTTGCTCATCCAGGCTTCCACTTGAAGTTTATTTAGATAATTCGCGTCACTTTCAGGATAGAATTTCATATTCGTAAAATTTATGTAAGAGCCAAAGCACATAACATGGCGTAGCGATATACGACAGTCGTAGTCCTCGCGAAGTTAGCGTAATCCAGAGTTTTCTTGTGTTTGTATCTAATGCACCAATTTTCCTTTTTCTTTTATTTCAGTATTAATTTTTGCAAAATTCTTGCAAAATATAAGCAAATGTAGCATCAAATCTTGCTGTTGATTGTCTATGTTCAGCTCAAACATCGAAAATGCTCTAGCGCAAAACTGTGAAAATTCATTCTATACATATAATTGAGGAGAAATGTAAAAATCGCAAACGATCGCAATAAATTTTCTTTATATATAGATAAGTTCTATTTTAATATAAATTTAATAAAAGTCCTATATAATATCGTATAACATACTTAAAAATTAAAGGAATTTAAAAGTGAAAGAATTTTTGTGTTATATGGTATTATATGGGATTTTTATTAAATTTATATTAAAATAGGACTTAATAAGGTATCTAGAAATTTGAAAATTTATTGCGATTGTTTGCGATTTTTATATTTCTTTTCAATTATAGAATGTGTTTTCACAATTTGCGCCAGACCATTTTCGACATTTGGGCTAAACATAAGCAATTAACATTTGATGCTATATTTTATTTGCTTATATTCTGCAAAAGTTTGGTAACGTTTTATTTCCGGATGATGCATCATCCGGATGTTCAACCCAAATGTCGAAAATGGCGCAAAATGTAAACTCATTCTTCAATATTGATCATTTTGAACGCTTCTTTAATATGAATTTTATGTTTATATGTTACAGTATCACCGTAGCTACGCGGCCGACTAACTCCGCCAGTTGCGCATCGGATCGGTGAGTCAGTGAGAATCTTTTTTATTGAGGTAGCGAATCTACGAATAATCAAATATAGAGTAAAAATATATCTCGATACATATCTCGAATTACAATAATTTATAGTATAAAAATATTACATTTCGTAGATCCGTTACCTTAAAATGGATGGGCTAAAACTGATTAGGGCTGATATTTAATCTTGGTATCATTTGTTTACTGTTGTATTTATTGATTGTTATTGATTTATTGTGATTGTGCTAGTGTGCTTGAGGAAATACTCACACACTTTGCATGCACCGAGCTCGTGAAAAGATCATCAAATTATGTTAACAGAACTGCCGCGTTCTGTATAAATTACTTTTAAATAAAATTTCTTAATAAAATTTACATAATAAATTAAATCTTTGAAATTTTATTATATTGATGAATTCTATTTAAAACTAGAGTTAGTAATGAATATTTTCGATACACAAGAGAAAAAATAAAATAATACTCTAATTAATTAAAGTAATAATTTTTGAAATACAAAATTTTTTTAAGATTTCTTCAAAAAGAAATTGTTGTAACATTTTTTTTTATAAAAGAGATAAGAATAAGTAAAATATTGTGTTAGATGTTATAAGAAAAAATATTTATAGATAGGAAATAATTTTGAGTTAGTTAGGATGTGTTTTATTTCCTTCCATATCCATTTATTTCCTTCCATATCTATATTTAACCAAGATCAAATATTATGTAAATCGATGCAAGGAAGCATGATATAGATATAATATAAAATTTATTTCATAGAAAACGTGATAATTATTATTTATTACTAAAATTTATTTTAACAAAGCATCAATTATACCCTAATTTTTTGTAGCCTATACATCTATTTTTTATTGAAAAATTGGCTTTATGCCAGATAAAGTCAAGTAACATGACGTGAGATTCTAAATATTCTGTCGAGAAACACTGAACATTTTTTAATTATTTTAGAATTGATGATATAATTCAATTATTCAGTTTTGCAATAATATATGACTACGTTATATATTATTAATATATAATGTATTAAAATAATTTTGATAGAAAGTGCAAGATATAACGATACATTTATATCAATAATCATAAGATAAAGATTTGCATATATTATTTAATTATTCAATTATAACAATGCAGTTACTGATTAATTATAATATTCAATTATAATATTAATTGTGCGGGAAGTTTCTTTTTTTCGGATCTCACGTCATTTCATTCTGTACATCTTATTTGATATATTTTCGAGATGCATACCGCATGAACAACATGCATCGACCAGATCAAAGGGAAGAGAAAAATTCCTTCCATTGTCGTATCATTATTATTGCCGAAAGATAATATACGTTACGTTCGATTCGAATTACGCGCGAGTATCGATTGTATCAAAAAATGCACAACGAGAAGTTAATTTATAAAAAAATATTAATTTATAAAATGACTGCACAAGGTTGATCAAAAATATTTCGCATTTTTGTGTTTTCGCGGACGGTTTTCGCGGTCGGTTTTTTGAGAAATTTTTCATTATTAATTTTTTAATTTTATCTACATTATAAATTTAATTTTTTCATGGGATATAATTAAGATATTTATATATGTATAACGCAATATTCATAGAACGCGAAGTAAAATTTTTTCTGTACTTGATTACATTTCCAAATTAAAAGAATGGATCACAAAAAAATGGACAATCAATATTTTTAAGTAAATAACGGAATTAGAAATATTTTTTCGTAGAATAGCGCGTCGCGTGGTGTGTGTCTGCGGAACGACACCCACCACCCTTAGAAAGTTAGGCGTTTAGGACGTCGCGTAGCGCGGTGCGTGTGTCTGCGGATCGACACCCACCACACCCTTGCGGTAGTTAGGCGATTGTAGGGCGTAGCTTAGCGAGGTGCGTGTGTCTGCGGATCGACACCCCCCACATTCCCCGCGGTAGTTAGGCGATTGTAGGGCGTAGCTTAGCGAGGTGCGT